CTGTTTTTTTTTTTTCTAAATTGTTAAATATGAAGTTTTATAACCTAAATAAAACTTTGATAAATAATTTAAAAATTCATGCGCTGAATCTTTTAAAAATTATTGTGTGCCTAGCAGATTAGATGCATTATAAACATTTCTGAAGCACATTAATGCCTAGCAGATTAGGTGCATTATAAACCTTTCTTAAGCACATTAATGCCTAGTAGATTAGGTGCATTATAAAGGTTTTTGAAGCACATTAATGCCTAGTAGATTAGGTGTATTATAAAGGTTTCTGAAGCACATTTAAATCTCAAGATTCAGTTGCATCACAGAAACATTTAACATGTAAATGCCGCGGTACCCTGTTTAACAAAACACCGACCGTTCTAGATGATATCACAACATTAATTACATCTTTAATATCGTTAAGATAAACATCTACGTATCCACATTTATGTGGTTCTACTTTCTGACAGGCTCACGAAGAAGCTAAGTTCAGGTGTTCCAAAGCTACACGTAAGCTTCTCTTGATTTTTATTCCAGATAAAACACCTGTCAATCTATTGTTTTCCAATCAAAATCGAAAGTTACAGGACAAAATTCTGCAACGTAAGCTAATTAAACCCCCCTTATTTATATCTATATTCTGGAATGTTTGCTAGTAACACCACCCCCCGCAGCAAGTCTTCCTGCTTTCTTTAATTAAAGAAGAATCTTCCGACGGGTCGTTGACGTCTTCAAATTCAAAAAACGTCACAATAAAAAAACTTGTGTAATTTCTAAATTTTGTTAAATAAAGCTAACTACGTCACGCAAGTTACCAGAAGTTTGCCTCGAGATATTGTATAATAGTAAAGCGGAGCGTGATGATAATGATGATGATGGTAGTTAAGCCACGCGGCTCTTCCTGTAAAGGAGAGCCGAAATCATCATCTTAAATGGTGACTCGCGTGGATAAAAACTGTATAAATTGGCTGGGTGCGAAATATGGCTCCTTGTTTTCCTTGATTATGCCACCGTTTAACGTGGCACATTGTTAAGTGGGCAAATTCATGCAAGAGAATTAGTGTTGAAGGCTTAAAATTTGAATCATTACCCGCTTAATTCTTCATATTTTCTACATTCAATACTCAAAATTTGCATTGAGATGTGGTAACATTATGCAACAAGCTTATAAACAATGCTTGTATCATGTTCACAAAACGTGTAAATACTGTATTGCAATGCGTTGATGAGTCATTTAAGCGAACGATTCATCCGATTTATAACTGTTTTCTCAGTAGAAGAGCGAGAAATGTTGGTGCAGGAAGATTAAATTATCCAAATCTTCCAAAAAAATCACTCTTGAAGGCCTAAAAATTGATTCATTATCCACTTGATTCTTCATATTTTCTAGCTTCGATACTACAAAATCATACTGAGACGTGGTAACGTTATGCAACACGCTTCTAATATGGTAGTGTATCACGCAGGAAGATTAAATTACGCGAATCTCCCAAAAAATAACTCTTGAAGGTCTGAAAATTGAATCATTAGCCGCTTGATTCTTCCAATTTTCTAAACCCAGTACCGAAAAATCGTACTCAGTAGTAGTAATGTTATGCAATACGCTTCTAAACAATGTGCAATACGCTGCAGGAAGATTAAATTTACTCGAACCCACCAAAAAATCACGCCGAAAATCCCCCAAAAATGAACAATCAAGTGGTTTATCCCTTATATTTTCTAGATTTAATTCCAAAAGATTACGTAGAAGCTTGATAATTCGATGCAACACACTTCTAAGCATCGCGCAACACGCTAATCCTTCGGATGCAAACTGATTTTTGTAGAATTATACAATTATTTACATTATAAAATACAGTTATTTTAATGATTCAATGTGAAGTAATGCACGAATAATGCGAAAAATATGAAAATTAAAGTTCATGAATCCGGAAACATTAAAACATTTTCAGGGGGGGGTCGAGTAGTGCTTAGCACGCTCCTGCAGTACTAGAGCTTTTGAAGGAGAAATTGTCGTTAAAATCCAGCAGCGGGTGCATCGAACCAGATAAATAAATAAATAAATAAATAAAAAAAAGGAAAAATCGATCATTGACCCCCTTTCACAAAGGAAAATAATAGAAAACGATTCATTCATAACTTTGCTTTATCATCTTCCAATCATCACTAAAATAATAATAATAGTAAAATAAATTAAATGCTAAATAATTTTATGTTGTGATAATTATTTTATTTGTTAAGAGGTCAGCGCCACTTTTTGTTATTTTTCTGTCGTTTCATCCTCATTATTCGGCCATTTTTTTTTTGCCATATCCTCTATATTTTCGTATAAATTTATACAGCATCCGAGAACCGATCCAATTAAACTTGTATTTTTATTTAAAATGTCAAGAGATATTTTCCGCCATTTGTTTTTAAGAATGATTTCTCATCTTTTTTTTTGTGGTATTTTCTTTATTTTCTGAATGAAAAAATTAGACTGAGAGGTCAGTCTCATTCTTTATCATTTATCCTTCATTTTAGGTCATATTTTTGTCATTTCTCCCACTTTTAGATCACATTTGAGTAATTTATACACGAATTTAGGCCATACTTACGTCAATTCTCTTCAGTTTAGGCCATATTTTTTTCATTTCTCTCCAATTTTTCGGTAATATTCTTTTGCCTCCTTTGTATTAAGTCGAATGTTTTGTCATTTCTCTCCCATTTTAGATCTTATTATTGCCACTTCTCCTCCATTTTGAACCGCTCTTTTTCCACTTCTCCTCCATTTTAAGTCGCTCTTTTTCCACTTCTCCTCCATTTTAAGTCGCTCTTTTTCCACTTCTCCTCCATTTTGAGCCGCTCTTTTTCCACTTCTCCTCCATTTTAAGTCGCTCTTTTTCCACTTCTCCTCCATTTTGAGCCGCTCTTTTTCCACTTCTCTTCTCCATTTTAAGCCGCCCTTTTTCCACTTCTCTTCCATTTGAGCCGCTCTTTTGCCACTTCTCCTCCATTTTGAGCCGCTCTTTTGCCACTTCGCCTCAATTTTAACCCACATTTTTGCCATTTATCCTCAATTTTAAGCCACATTTTTGAAAATTCTCCCGAATTTTATATGCTATTTCTTCACATTCGGAGCGGAAACCATAAGACAATAGAGCACTCTCGACGACCGATCAAACAAAATTTGCAATTTCCTTTTTTATACCCCGGGTTTTGTTAAAATTCACAAAGGTCATGACCCCGAAAGGATCCAGACTTTGCAAGAATTTCTGGGTGGTTAAAAGGTAGCATTCGAGTAGACATTATAGGCGTAGAGATTTGTTTTGCATGGGTGGTACGTCGTAGATACACCCAACGGTATCGACTGAATGATTCTGCATGCCTTGCTCATTACTTCCAAAGAAAAAAATAAAAAATAAAACAAGCAAATTGCAAAATGTGAACGGTTCTAGTCATGAAATATGTTACGCGTGAATATTTAAATAAATTTTCCAAGACGTCTTCCATTAATAATGCCACCTACAAATGCAAATACAGTATTCTGTTTGATTACTTACCAAAATATGCAAATTTAATTATCTCGTTTAGCAATTTTACTTTCCAGACTGTTATATATAACAGAGGGGAAGTGTGGCCATGGGTCAAAAGTTGATAGGGAACTTGTAACGTCGAGAAGTGCAAAAATTCGGAAGTTTTTTAATGTGTGTGTGGGTGGGGCACGATTCTGTGCGCTCATTTTGAAGCTTAATAACTCCTGTGCCTTTTGTTGAATATTTTTGAAATTTTACAGGGAAGTTTCTGTATTAGGAGGCACGATGCTCTTAAATTTTGGTGGTTAAAGATCGACGGGGTGGAAAGATATATGCGTTCACGTATCGTATCTCGAGTGGGGTCGGACTTCACGAAGAGTTTTATTCGTTATTAACATTTATACCCTGAAAATTTTGCCATTTTATAATAAATTAATAATATAAAAAGTATATAAAAGTATAAAAGATGGCGCAACACGCAATTTTAACTCTTGCCGGGAAAGTTACTCAACTCAACTCGTTGCTGGATTTTTTTTTTTAAAGACATTCAACTGAAGAAGAAATAAACGAGATCGGTTCGTGTGCAAATAAGGAAAAATTTGATTGAATAAATAAAATATATGTATAAAGCTGCACCGGACTCTACTAAAACTAGGTTATTTCAGTGTATTGCACGTTTTTAACGTCCATTGTTCCACACAGATTATCCTCTATCGACAGCCTGTTTTTTTTTTTGCAGTTTATGTAGAATTTTAATAATTCTTTCGTGTTTATCTCCTTGTTTACTTGCATTCGCGTGAAGTTCGTAAACCTCTGCAGTACCTAAACACCTTAGTAGTTTCTTATATTCATTTATAAACTCCTGTATTCCTTTATAATCCTTACTACCACTGTTTTCCTTAGTAACCTTTACTACACTTTGTACCCTTTACAGTTCCTTTATACTTTATTATCCTTTCTGTAACTCTTCTAACCTATGTGCTTGACAATCTTTGATACTTTTTGCACGCTATTATTATTTTTCAGTTCCTTTATACATTATTATCCTTTTATAATTCATTCTATATCCTTTGGAAGAGTTACAAAAGGCCTAATAAGGAATAAAGACTGTAAATTCCTTACAAATATAAATAAATATGTAGCCCAAAACGTAGTCAATGCGCCAAATAATATTTTATGCAAAACTAAAAAAAAAGAGTTGCCAAATTTAGCGAAAAGTAGTCAAATCTGGCAACATTCGTAATCTACCTTCATGTGCTCTGCCCTCTAACGGTTCTTGTATAATTTACATTAATTAAATATTTTAAAAACTAAATTTTATTAATAAATAAATTAATTACTATATTAATTCGATAAAAAGGTTTTAAATTAAAATATATATATATGTTATAAATCTTATGATACGCCGCCATTTTGAATTTCGAATTATTCAAAATGGCATCATATCTAAAACGTATTTTATTACCATTTAATTAATATTTATTCTTATTTTAGGTATTTAATGTGGTGAGTCTTGTGGTGCCGACATTTTGGTCAGCTTGGCAAGAAAATATTATTGTTTGGCTTCGTTTACTGGAAAGTTTATTGATTCCAGCCATACTTTATTTTACGGATTTACCTCATCGTGGCGCTGTAAAGAAAGCATTTCAGAGAAAAAGCGGAAGATTTCCAGATAACAATGGTAATTATTTAGTTTAATGATAGCTAATTGGCTAAGTATTTTCTTAAAAAAACATTCATTAAGATATAGGAGGATTCAGTTTTGAATTCGAACTCAAATCCTCTCGCATCTTGTTTGAATTCGAACTCAAATCTTCCTGTATCTTGTTTGAATTCGAATCCTCTCGCATCTTGTTTGAATTCGAACTCAAATCCTCCTGTATCTTGTTTGAATTCGAACTCGAATCCTCCTGTACCTTTTTGAATTCGAACTCGAATCCTCTCGCATCTTGTTTGAATTCGAACTGGAATCCTCTCGCATCTTGTTTTAATTCGAACTCGAATCCTCTCGCATCTTGTTTGAATTCGAACTCAAATCCTCCTGTATCTTGTGCGAATTCGAACTCGAATCCTCCTGTAACTTGTGCGAATTCGAACTCGAATCCTCCTGTATCTTGTGAGAATTCGACTATAAATCCTCCTGTTCTTATACGAATTCGAATCCAAATCTTCCATGAAAATTCTTATGAAAGATCATCGATTCAGTGCCAAGATTTCTTGTATCCAAAAGTTGTAACGTATATCAGGCCTCGTCTCATCACCAAATAATGATACACGTAAAAATATGAGGCCTTAAGATACAGTTTCATAACGCGAGGCTCTAATCTGCAGTTTGTTTAGCTTAATACACTCGTAATAATACGTGTAAGGTCTTATGTTAGGGTTATCCCATTATGGGCCCGATTTAATTAACTAAAATTATAGTGAGCACATAGCCCATTGAGAACACACGTAAACAAATCTAAACTGTAATGATTTTGAAATATATCCGTATATAAAAGCCCATTAATTCTAACAATTTAGTAAATTTAAATCCCAGTTCCCATTATCACGCTGAATTTCAAATAAAGTAAATATTCTTCAACTTAGGGCCTCGTGCCTCAAAGAGCCATAACTTGCCCATTATTATTACACGAGTTCAAGTATACTTTTATGCAAATTACAGGTAGCCAAGAGATTAAATTGGATTTTTATTACGTAAAATGAAACTCGGCGAATGAACTTATTATTATTAAATGTAGCTTTTGTAATCGTCACACAGTACAACACTTGTGTAAAGTAACAGTGGGCGATACTTACGTAATAGAACACCCACGTAACTACTTGAAGATGTTATCCGATCGAGTTTATAAACAATGTCGATTCTAGGAAATTGCTTCTAATCATAGCTAAGAGCAATTTGAAGTAGCTAACTTGTTGAAAACAAGTTTTAAAGGAGTTTTTCTGAGAATGACACTATTTACAAACAGACAGACATACACACGAGCGCGCGCGCGAGCCGCAATGTTATATTTCCGGACTGCAGTAAAATAAGACCTACTTTTACGCTCCCTTTTAATAAATTTTTCGAGTTTTTTTTGGGGGGGGAGGAGGAGTGAAGTGCTCGTAAACACGAAGCAAAAGACCTCTTTTGTAGGCAGGAAGTAATAGAACCACTTTACACACCAACTGACGTTATATTCGCGAAGAATTTAAATTCCTCAATCGGTAGATCGCGAGCTATACACGGGAAGAATTGTTTAAGTTTGCTTTCCATTTTATTAACTGAAAAATTCGAATTTTTTATTCGTAAAGTTCGGCATTTCTTCAACCAGTAGATCACGACTAACAGTTGGGTTAATTTAATATATAGAACTTCCCAACTTGTTGATCGCGATCGACTGGTTGAAAAGCCGAACTTTACGTATAAAAAAAAAATTGTAATTTCATTTATGTAATTAAAGTGTGTTTATTTTCAGGAACCAAGCTACCAACCAGTAGCTCGCGATCTATACTTGGGTTAATTTTTCTATAGTGAGCTTCCCAACATACTGATCGCGATCTACTGGTTGAGAAGTCAAAGTTTTCGAATAAATTTAGGAATTTCAACGTTCCTAATTAACATAAATTTATTATATTTTCAGGAACCGACAATCGAATACGTCCATACTTGGATGATATTTTGAGTGGACACAAAATAGGACCAGGAAATTACCTGTCGAGCTTTCATCAGCCTAATGACTTACCGGTAATGCGTCACTTGGCAATTTTTGGTAATCGCGTGGGGTGGCACGACCACATTCTATCAAACGTCTACTCTCTCCCACAACACAACGATGCCTACTCGAAAAATTTGCATATGATGGCGGAACCAAGAAGCTACCTTACTAAACAATGCAACATGGACAATGACCTACCCGAATATTCGGTAGACACGTGGAAGGAAGATGGATCCCACATCTATGCCACGTTATCCGAAAGTGCCAGCTTTCAGTCAGTTTTCACCAACGACAACATGGAGTTGGCTGAAGATGGCGAATCGGTCACAACGGATGCTAATGATGATTTCGAATTTCATGAAGTTCGCCCAACGCAACAGCAGCAGGAACTTCATCTTCATCATCATCATCATCATCACCAGCAGCAGCAGCAGCAGCAACTCTACCCAGAAGAGAAAGAACAATTCGAAGATCAGCCCGAATACAGCATAGATACCACTTCGGATTCCGACGACGACGATGATGATGAAGACGATGAAGTAGAAGTACGCAACGATCAATTTCTTCAAGTATACAAAATGAGCATGGAACAACTGCAGAACAATGCCATAGCGAAGAGTTGCTCCATGGCATCCATGGACGACGAGGGAGTTAGCACGGATGATGACGAGGAGGAGGAGGAGGAGGAAGAAGAAGAGGAAGAGATTTACGTACTCCCGGTTGCTCCGAGATCGAGCATGGCACTCTACAAATTACAGCTTCCTCGACCGTTCAAGGCAAGGAGCGAAAACGATTTAACATGGCTGTCGAAGGTGGTTGATAGTGACTCAAATCACGAGAAGATTCCCGAAGAAAAGTGCGGAAGGAGTGCCATACTCGATGCCCTAAACAAAAATACGAAAAGGAACGTCAAGAGACGCACTAGTTTAAAAGAAAGCGCCATTGGAGGACCCTCTCCAACTAGCAATAACGTTACTTTATCGGGATTTGTGTAAACCGCCAAAAAAACAAACAAACACCAGTGAGAATTTGGACGTTTTGTACAAAAACTAGCCAAGAACTTGTAGTTTTTTGACTACGGAAGAAATTGCAACGAGTCCATCTTGGAGTTTTCTTAGAATCATAAAGAAAAAGAGCCTCCTAGTCCAACTAAGTTGTGCTTTCGGAACGAATTCGATTAACCATGGTTATGTGGAATTTATTAAAAATTAACAGAATATATTATCAGTAATCGAAGCATGCCATCAGGTTATTATAATTAATTATTATTTTTACAACAGTTTGTAACAATTAAAAAAAGAAACTGTTATTTATTTACAATGTTTAATCAAGTCGACATTTTTTTTTTTAATTCTTCGTACCTACGTGGCTCCATCTAACGGCAGCGTGATAAAACATTACGATAATGTTTTTAAAATGCCAAAAATATATACATATATTATATATATTTTTGCATTTTTTTATGTATATAATTTTTTTATTAAGCATTGTAATAAAAACTGAAATTATAAAATAGAAAAATGACTGTAAATTATTTTTATAAAATAAGTTATATTAGGGAGTGACGTCACCGACAAAATAATTTATTCGCGTCGAAAGAGGCTTTGGCAACTTATCACTTAGTTGTTTCTATACCTATAAATCAATTCTACTTTTATTAACAAACAAAAAGTAAAACCTTTTAAAATGCTATTTATTAATAAATATTCTCTGTATTTCGTTTGCTCAAAAAAATAATAACAGAAAAAAGGCGCCGCTCTACCATTGGGTTCCATTTCGTGTTGCCAGATTATTTTTTTTAAATTTTTTTATTTGGCCCCCTTTTTACAATTTAAATAAATTTTATTAAACTTCTTCCGATAAATTTTATGTATATTTTTATATTATTTGCGCCTAGAAATATATATATATTTCAAATTAATTTTTCTGAATTTGTAGCAAGAGATGACGTCGAGAGCAGAAAAGTGTTGCCAAGTGATGTTTTTACAATACAAATTCCATTTTTGGATTTAAAAAAAAAATTTAAAAAGCTTATGTATTTAATTCCTTCAAAAAAAATAATAATAATAAAAAGCGTGTATATATTTTTAAACATTAAATCTTTCGGTGAACTTTTTTTTTTAATACACTGGAAGATTTAAGTGTGACGTAACAATACACATACACACAAAAAGTATTGATTTCATGTCTACATTATTTAAATTTCATAATTATATGTTTCTGAATACAAAGAAATTTCTAAATGACATAGAAAATTTAAAAAGCTTATGTATTTAATTCCTTCAAAAAAAATAATAATAATAAAAAGCGTGTATATATTTTTAAACATTAAATCTTTCGGTGAACTTTTTTTTTTAATACACTGGAAGATTTAAGTGTGACGTAACAATACACATACACACAAAAAGTATTGATTTCATGTCTACATTATTTAAATTTCATAATTATATGTTTCTGAATACAAAGAAATTTCTAAATGACATAGAAAATTGGTTCAATTTTCATATAATAATTTAAAGATGACCTTATAAATTGACTTCAACAATAATAAAAAGTGGTTTGAAACAGGAATTGTTCAATTGGCAATATTATATGTAAATTTTACTGATGATACATTGTTTATATTTCCTTGTTTGAAGGGATTAAAGGTCAAAAATCTCTTTTCTTGACCTAATGTGTGGATATTTGTATAGAAAACCAGATAGAGGGGGCCAACAAATCCATTAAGCAAGTCCTCACAAACACAGGAGGGGATCCAAAGATTTTTTTTTGTAATAAAAACAAAACACAATTTCAAATATAAATAAACTTGGTTTAAATAAGTCACAAAAAATGTTTTTATTGATTTAATTCTTATGTTTTAAGAATTTCAGATTATAAGGCCTGGTCTAGACCTCATATCATGTCTTTCAAGCCTCATATATACATATAAATAGAAGTGGCCTCCTTATCTAGAACAGAAGTGAGGACTAATGGGCAGTTGGCGGAACCTCTCCAAATACAGAAAGGCTCTGAAAATTATATAAATTATGTTAGAAATTCAAATATTTTTTATGTCTTGGAGTGGAGCGGAGCCACATCTCGACTCTCTCGGCTCTCATTATACATGCATATTACTAGAATAATTATTCTATATAATTGATAGTTATAATTTGGTTAAATAGGAATGAATAAATCAATGCCAAATTGGCGGAACCTCTCCAAATACAGAAAGGCTCTGAAAATTATATAAATTATGTTAGAAATTCAAATATTTTTTATATCTTGGAGTGGAGCGGAGCCACATCTCGTCTCTCTCGGCTCTCATTATACATGCATATTACTAGAATAATTATTCTATATAATTGATAGTTATAATTTGGTTAAATAGGAATGAATAAATCAATGCCAAATGGACGGCACATCTGCCACAATACCAGATCTTTCGACCAGTTTATTTAATAATTGTATTTTACATATCTCGACATCTATTCACATAAATCAAAGTTTTTATTTGTGTTGCGCTAATCGGCTTTCGTGCCAAACGGAGTCGCTTTTAATTGCGCCGACATATATAAATCTTTTTTCCTTTTTTTTCTGTTATTAATTGGTTATTAGAAGAACATATGCATATGTTATTTAAGATATGTAGAAGTGTATGTATTTATGCAGAGGTAAATTATACAACTTTTAAATGAATAAATAAATTCTAGAAAACTTATTTTGATAAAAATTTTATTGTATAAATTAAATTGTGGGAAGCACATATGCAATTAAATGAAATAGAAAATATAAATATGTATATAGAAATTTGTCTTAAAAATACATATGGGACATAATATTTAATATATAAATATAGTTTTATAATTTATATATAAAAATATTAATTTAAAAATCAACAATTTCACTGTATAACAATCATTCAAGTACATCTTCGAAGAACTTTAGATAATAAATCTATATAAAACGAATGTCAGCAACCTTCGATCATAAAAAGAAAATTGTCCTCGGTTGCTTCGGTTTCAAAACTAGTTTTTGAATTGATTTCTGTGTATACAGGTGGAGTGTATGTAAATATTTCCTTGGAAGATGATTGTCCTTTGGTCATGACATAAAAATAATAATGGAAATCATTTCCTAGTTCCCATTTATCGAAAGACCATTTAAATTTCGAATTGTTATATAATGGACCCCTGAAATGCGGTTGAGCGAAGGTGATGGAGACGAAATGTCCACCATTTTTCAACACGCGCGATACCTGGAACGAAATTATTTTTATCAGTAACTGAACAGCAAAACGGAGGAGAGACGACATTTATCATACGTGTAAGTTGACAGTCGTGTACAAGACATTGCAAATTATATTACAAACGCATGCTTAAACCAGCTTTTCTGGTTTAAGCGTGGCATTCGTTATATTACTGATGCTTATACAGAAATGGTATACAAATATTTTTATGCTACGTGCAACAAGAAATGCAAATTTTAATTACAAATTTACTCAATATAATTCAAATTTAAACTTACATAAATAATAAACTCGACTTACGTAAAATGTCATCGACATATTTAACAGAGATTATATTTTTAAATATTAAATACTGATTTCTAAGATAATACTGAAAAACAATTGAGGATAAAATTTTATTTATATGCTATTATCTACTTAGATTATTCACTTATAAGGAAAAATGATACTTGAATTCCAGATTGTTCATTCATTTAAAAAAAAGAAAATAAAACTGATAAGAATTAAATGACATTAAAATTCCATTCACATGCTTCACATTTTTATTAATATACCTGTAGACCTCTGTCTTACAACACAAGTTTTATAATCCCTACTTTTACGACTAGTATGTGGTTTCTATTAATAGATATAAACCTAAATTTAGTTACAAATATATCTAAAATCTGAATTATTTTGGGCTAATTAAGCAAATTATTTAATTAATTAATGAATTTGTTTTGTCAAGATAATTTATTGAATGTAATTAAGGCCAGATTTATTTACATTGTAGCCTATGCCTAAATAATATAGATATTCCCTCAAAAATTACTGTCAATCAATCTGTGGTGTGGCTTTAAGTCTTGGTTTATCTAATTATATCTAAATTGTACATTGTGTATATTTTTACATAAATTTGACATCATTCCTACATTTTTACAATGGTAAAGTATAAAAATGATGTCAAATTGACTCAAAGAATGTACAGATTTTAACAAAATGAGCATGTCTGAGCCCTCTACTGTTCATATTATGGGCAGATTTGACCTATAAAGTAGAAATTATAGAATCTGGCTTAAAGAATTTCCACTCTAGACTGACCTTCTGCTCGAGATTTTTCTAATTTAATTAGTACCTTAACTGTTTTCCTTTAAGCCAAATTCTAGCCTGAAAATAATTAGCTTTTAGACAATTTAAATTATTTTTCTTGGCCATCTTTGGGTAGTATTATCAGAGCTGCCAAGAAGAGAATCGGCATGACAAACTACATAGGCCCAAAGGAATCCAGCAGAAGAGAAAGTTATCAGCTTTACAAATTTCACCAATTTTCATAACAAGTTTCGACAAGTTTTAAAATAAGATGAACCTGATTTTTGTTATCTGAATATCGGAAAACTATTTTCCATAATATGTCATAGGAAAACGAGCCCGGTACAATGCTAACTTCACTTGTGGTCTATCTTTTGACACTCCTGAGTATTATAAAATTTAAGTTATATTTTGGAAAATAGAAGCTAAATTTATAATGCTAGACTCTGAGTTAAATTAAGAAGAACTCAATGAAATTTTCCAATAATTCATTAGATGGTTTACTAGGCTCCGGTGACGGAATTCAGCTGGCTCTCACTAGTTCGACAGAACTACTTCCTAAAATATTTTTAGCTTGGCAAACCAGTTGTTAAAGTTGTAAATATTTATTTAGGTAATTTATCATAAAAATCTGAATTTGCATGAGACTGGAGCAGATCAAAAGAGAAAAACTATGCAAAAGAGCAACAAGTATGAATGACTGATCTGACTACCTGTTACAATCAAGTATCTGATGTCTTCTGTTCAACGCATAGGTACAAATTATAAACTCCAGCATTTACATCTGCATTTCTGGATCCAGGAAATGCAGGGCAAAATATATATATATACTTCTAGGATAATTCTGAATATCAATTCAGGTTTCTATTTCCAATTTTGGATTTCCTGGGAACAAGAAACACCATTGAGTATATCCATACCAACAGGAAAAAACTATGCACTCAGCCAATTTTAAGCAGACTCAAATTGTTGTGTAAGTCCAATTCAAATTATTTTTCTTCGAACACAAATTTTGATGAATGTTATCAGCAATCAAAAGAAGGATAAGAGAAAATGCCAGGCAAAGATGTTTCCTTGTTTTATTTATTTGTATGTTTTGGTGAAAGACATTTTTAGTTTGTATCTGACTTCTGATAATGGGCATTAACCTGAAAGTGTTGAATTTTCTAAGTTTTTCCTCCAAGAAGGCAGTTTGAATCAAACTTATGTTTATGAAGGAGCTTCCTTAACAAGTTCATCTAAAACAATGAGATGCTTATCAAAAATATGAGACATTAGACAAATAAAATGGACTCAAAATGCTAACAGTTTCGATTGAATTAAGCATAAAACTATTCCGAATGCAATTTCACTAATTTTGAGACAATATTAAACTTGACGATGCTCAACATAATTGATAAAAATTAATTATTTTAAAATTATAATTTGGGTTAACAAATTCTTGCATAGCAAGTTCTTTCAATATAGATGTCATGCCAATTTAACTTCAATAAATACCTGCTAACTGGTAAGTTTGGCACAACCTCAATCACTTCAGTGACGGCATCATGAGGGTAATATTTTGCATAATATGTTTGTAATGCAGTATCTACGTGTCATTTTTGGACATCCTTTCAGTAGCCAATAGAATATGTACAAACAAAAAGAAAATAATCATAATCAGGTATAGCATAAAACAATTTCTTAACTTTTAAAGCAGGTATCCAAAGCAAATGTGTGCTATGTTAATTTATTATTTTTGATAAAACAGCATAACTCTATATATTTCAGGTTAGAGAATTTTTACTGCGTTAAAATATTACATAAATTAAAAAACTAATGATCAAAGTGACTCCATCTTTCATGATTTATTTATCATATGTTATAGTTTTACATACTTAAATTTTTAATGCCAATGAAACATATTTTAAGATGACCAATGTCTTGTCATCAGATCACAAGTCGAACTTCACAAGTGCCATCAAGGGAGGGGGGTGAGGATTATTTCCTCAAAGTAAAATCTTCAAGACTGCTTTTATTAATGAATAAACATTCTACATATTTCATTCGTCCAAAAAACAAAATGTTAGAAGAGCCAGCTCTACGCCCGGCCCCATAAAAGCTCTCGACAGCCGAGTTTTCGCACCAAACTAGTAACCGCTTTCTCAAACAACTACGAACAAAACCAACTTCTTTAAAAGGTTTATTAATGTACGTTGAACGAAGATCAAATTTAAAATTTATGTGGGCCTATAAACATTCGCAATTTGATCATTAGTTTTCATACGTACAAATGAAAGTATTCAAAAATTTTATAATTATCTTACTAATAAATAAAATTTATGTAATTTTCTACTTGCTCTACATCCAGATGGATAAATTATTCATAATTACACATATATAATTAATTTATTTTTCCTGTCTATTTCGCAAATGAATCATTCAATTTACAGAGCAATAACGTATGAAAAAAATAGCAATGCGGTTTTTATCATACCGAGTTTTAGCTTACAAATTGCAAGCGACTTATTTGCCATGCAAATGAATAAAATCTGTAATTCTAATTTTAAATATTGAAAGCCATATTGGGTATCGATGTTAAAACATGCCTATTTCCACAAATATTTTTAAATACTAAGCATAGTTTCGGGATAACAGAATTAAAATATAATTTACAGATTGAATTTAACTGAAAGCTTGCAAGGGCATTTGCGCAAATTTGCTAGCACTCAAATGGGAGATTAAGGAAATTGGAAAGGATATAAAATTTAAATAATAAGTTTAAAAGGAGTAATTTTGTTAAATTATGATAAATTTCTCTATTTATTTTCTTACAAAAGAATATTTAAGTTTAAAAAATTGTGTGTGGTGCCATCTGTGATGAGATTTTATTAAAAAGTAATTTTTATATTATTAATTATTATAAAAAAAAGCAGATATATTACTTTTAGGTAGAGGTAGGTTCTTTAGAAAATTATATATGCTAGTAGTAAGTGAAATTTTCATTACATATGACTCATGAGAAGATATAGGGGGTCATGTGTAGGGATACAAACACAACCACCCTATCTTCTCATATCATGACCGTTAACTATTAAAATTTAATAGCATCACTGCCTCGTATATAGAAATAACCCTGCCAAGTTTCAAAGCTTTTGGTTTATCCAGTCCTGAAATATAATGCATAAACCTACACACATACACACACAATTTTGTATGCATTTTTTTTTTTTTTTTTACATTTTTGGGCTTGTTGTCAAAGCATTGAGGAATAAAAAACCGAGAAAAAATTTCCATGTTTGTTCAAAACAACTTATTTAAAATACATATTAATATACGCAAATTGTGACAGCTCCAAGATAAATCTTCTTAAATCATTTGATTATATTAAAGTGTGAATTTTTCTTTTCTATTTGTCTGATCGTATCAGACTTCAATTTTATTATTTTTTAAAGTTATTATCTGTTATTAATAAATAAAACAGTTCAAACTTGTAAAAAATTAAAAATAAAAGCCGTTTATGTACAAGGAATATTGACCCTTTCCTTACATGCTAACTCTCCTGTTTAAAAAAATGTTTTGGTTCTTCAGAAATCCTGTATATAATTTTTTACAGTGTTAACATCAGTTAAAGTGTATTTTAACTGTTTTCTGTTCAAACATAATATATAGTATTTAGTGTAATGACCGGATGGCCAAGCTGGTCAAGGCACTAATGTACTTTTTCGAGTGGTAATTTCTTTTTTTGCAAGTTTGTGGATTTGTTGCATAATCAATGAACGTCAGTGGAACTGAGGAACCAACCTGCATACCACGTTATCACTTCTTCCCACTGTTTTAATTGGCTTTTGAAATATTCGGCATACAGTTCTTGTATATTCCATTTAGCCAGTATCTGTGCTACTCTAAGATCCAAGATCAAATCAAAGAAGGTGACACCTGGGACTTGTCGTGAGTGGTCTGCCCCCGACATATCAGGCCCTTGCCAACTGTTTACTTGAATTGTGAGCCTGGCAGAACTCACAATGGGCTTAGAAATAACAGGCCCTCTTAGTGCCCATATCCCACTGCCCTTGGTAGTCAGATTTTTATTGGTGTAATATTAAATTATGGCCACATTAAGTATAGTACAGAATCAAAGCAATTTGGCTTAAAGGCAGGTATTTAAGCTGCCTTCCTCTAAATAATTAAATTTATTAAGAAATGGCAGTTTAACTACCTACCTCTAAGCCAAATTGCTTTGTTTCCAATTATTAATATAGCCATAATTTAATTGTGAAAGATCACTTGGAAATTCTAACGTATTGGGTTGATTGTTATTTATATATAAAATTACAGTCTATGAGCCATTGTTTAATTTAAGTTTTCAAGAAAGAAACCATGTATTGAATAAAATCATGCTCTACTTTAAGAAACATATTATAATATTGATAATTGTCATACCTCTCAAGTATGTACTGTACATTTAAATATGCTGATATGCAGACATCGGGCATTTGAATGCAATAACGTAGCAATATGATACAAATAAATATGATACAATCCCTGACAAATTGGAAAAGATATGCTGAGCTTCTCATCAACTAATTTGAGGAGTACTGGTGTAATCATATTTATTTAAAGATAGTACTGGATTTTTCTCTAATGATCAAATTTTTATCATTAGAGTAAACTTGTATATTAAATATATATTTCGAAAAATTAACTATTATATTTACATCAATAATAAAAAACACTAATGACTTGGCAAAATGTATGACTTAATCAGATTTATTTCGGAGCCGTAAAAATTAAAATACTTAATATATATTAAAATGCAATTATCCAAAATGGTTAAACAAAAACAAAACTAGAGCATTGTACATATCAGAAAGTATAACATTCAGAAACTAAACTTTCCATGTGACTAGAAATTTTTACAATCTGTTGATTGTAGTGCTGCAAAACTAAGTCATACATGTAATATTACATTACAGTTTGAGTAAATTAATTTACTTTCAAACACAGTAAATGCATTAGTCCATGAAATTTTAACTGTACAGTGCTTGACATATCCAAAACACAAAAACAAAGAAGTTTCTGGATTATCTGAGAAACCACTGGTATCAAAGTTTGGATAATCACATTTAAACTATATTTTTACATTTAAATACAAGATTTGCCATAAGTATGGAACTATAGGAGTTGTGTTGATCTTTGTTTATTCTTTTACGGATAAAGCATGACATTGATTAAGATAAAATGAAGTTATTTTGATGACGGATACCTGCAGTTAGCACGAAGTTGCCAAAGAGCTTAACAGACTGCATCTAGACTTTTCATTAATCACACACACTAGTATTTATGCAGCCTGTTAAGCTCTTTGGCAACTTTGTGCAAACTGCGGGTACCCATCTTCAAAATAACTTCATTTCACCTTAATCATTGTCATGCTTTATCTGTAAAAGAATAAAAAATATCAACATAACTCCTGTGGTTCCAGACTTATGGGACATCCTGTACATTTAAAAAAAAATTACAAACATTTTAGTTCTTTTGCATTATTTAATAATTTATGAAATAGTAAACTTTAAAATACTTAAAATCTGAAAGTATTTGTTTAAACATAAATCATTTTTATAGTACAGGTAACCCCTGTATAACACGGGAGTTACGTTCAAAAAATTGCCGTGTTATGCGAATCCGTGTTATACGAAACAAAGAACTAGTGCGAAAAGGGAGGTTAGGTTCCAAAAATTAAAAAAACCATGTTGTTAAATTCTTATTTAAATAGGATTTATTATTCATTCTTTTCATAGGTAAAATACTTATTTATTATTTAAGTAAATATTTTACCAGAGGATTATTCATTTTATATGATGATCTCAGCATGAGCAACATCAACTGGTAACAGTTTGTGGGTGCGTTCATTAATAGCGGTCGCTCTGCAACAGGAGTGCGCCGCTGTTTGTAGGCATTTTAGGAACAACGGCAAAAGAAAGATGGCGGCACCTGCATTATTGATAGTATTGTGTGGAGGAATCTATAATTCTAAAATGAGCTTTTAGAGGCAAAAGAATGGTCCCAATTGTATAATTTAACCATTAAATAGATTATTTGTTGAAAGAGCATTCAAATTAGCCACGAAAACTATTAGAATGTTTGCGCAAAGTTACGCGGAGGTATAAAAGAACGCACCCTTTATTACATTTCATGTTGTACAAGGGTTTTACCGAATTCCCGAACTGTGTTAGAGTGAACCCGTGCTATAAAAGCACCGTGTTATACGGGGGATGTTCCCAATTCTCGAACCATGTTAGAGCGAATCCGTGCTAAAGAAGTGCCGTGTTATACGGGGGTTACCTGTATATTTTACAAAGTATGAATTTTAAATACGAATATAACTGAAAATATACCTCACTAAGAACTAAATCGATATCGTTAGCAGTCGATTGAGAAATATTCCACGGATCCTTTTCCTCGACCATCATCGAATCAATTGTGGCTTTTTCTATCACCACATCAAAATCTTTATCAGGAAACTTTAATCCTTTAGCATCCATACATAACCATTTCATTTCGGAACAAGCTGAACAATGGTTCTTCATCTTATCAATAACAACATTAGAATAATCTATATTCGTAATGTCATTAAACCCTTCTTTAAACATCCTTTCACTCAATAAACTGTTGCCACAACCTAGAAAATGTGTAAATTTCTTTTAAAAAGTTCACTTTTACATCAAATTTCATATGATTGTAAACAAATATTTCACAGAATGACTATTAATTATTAAAATTTACTTCATAAACTTACCTAACATTAATATTTTATCTGTAAACTTAACATATTGAGTGATTAAATGAGAGAGTGAATCGTAATGCAGGAGCCAGTCGTTATTTTCTTCCAATTCGTACCTCTTATTCCAATATTCTACATCTTTATATACTTCATTCTTTTTCGGAATTAACGTCATATTTGTAATTACATTTAAAAAGTTATAATAATAATAATAATAAAATAAATAAATGTTTATCTATAAAAAGATTCGGTAATCAATCAATAACAAAAACACGTGTCTACTTTTTCCTAGCCACCTGGTGACTGAATTAAGCAAACAAAAAATTTTAATTTAGGAAAAAAAAATTATTAAAAATATAATATATTGATATAAAAATTATTTATTTAGTAATATATTACAATAATAAATTATATAAGAAACTAATTAATAAATAACCGAATTCACTCTAGAAACACAGGACACACGACCTCAAAGGACCCAATATGGCGACTGCCGCGATGTATCGTAATATCGTGTCCGGACCTTGGCAATGCTAATACATCGTTTCTAGCAATTGGAGTTATTCAATAATGAATCAGAAAGCCTAATACTGTAAGGTGTATTTATTATATTAAATTTTTAAACGGATTTAGGTATAATAATAAGAAAAGACCTAGAACTTTTAGCACTTGTTACGCGCCATTTTGTAATTAGTCATAATTTTTACTTTCTCTTAATAATTACATTTCGGGGCAGGAACATCGTGGGCCTTTTATATATGAATTGGTTTTCAATGAAAGCCATTTTCTACAAATTTCAGTAAATTCGCAAAAAGTTCATTACAAATTGAATTCAAATCTTTTGTAGAAAAATATTTATTTATGGATTTAATTCCATTTTTATCCAAGTATATATTTACATGATTAATATAAATATATATACTTATATAAATACATACACACGAAATCTTTCACATCAAATTTACAGATACTTCGTTACTGATAAACTGAAATTTTGGATACAAAAGTGTTTGTATGAAATATAATTGTAAATAAATATACAAAACTATATTTTTGTAGTGACAGTGCTCTTCAATCTTCTTCTTCTTGATCTATTATGGTATAGTTCATCAGGAGGATGCTTTCTTGATCCTCTTGAAGAATTATAAAAGAATAAAGATTCATAAACACTAAAGCCTTTTATTTTTCGGATTTTAAATTAAGAGGGTAGCAACATTTTCGCTTCTTAGAATCCATTTAGCTGTCTACATACCGTCCATCTTTTAAGATCCCAACATTACTCTGGTAATTCAATTTGTATGGCTCTTTTAATTAATTGCCCCATTGTGGCATTGGCCGAACCCATTATAAGCATGAAAGAGACCTAGTGCCCATATGGGGAAAGTCTTTTTCATGCATATAATAAGCGATATATCCATGCCAGATAGGTTCTGGTGAGTTCACCATTTCTGCTTATAGTCTACCCATTTTGCACAATTGATATTATTTTACATTAATTTTGTTATAAAATAATTTTCTTTATAAAAGTTCCGGATTATGTACATAATTATATATTTACAGAATACATCATCCAAAATTTTTGAAGATATATATCAAAATTATGCACAAAATAAATTTTGAAGGAGTGCATGTAGATGATGATGATGACTGATAGGTTGAAGACGATGAGCAATGATCTTTATTACTTCCTACACAGGATGCATAACCCATGACACGAGCGATATATACTTGTTCGTGGACACCATGGAATAAATGTGCCATTGGGCCAATTGCAAAAAGGGCAACGTCTTCGCCTCCGTGAGTCTCTGATTTTAGTGGCACTCCAGAATATTGAATGTAATTGGGAGAAGCTGAAAACAAAAGGAAAGTACATAAGTTGTGTAAATGATTTAATGGAATTTATTTATTTATTTTTTAATGTAGCCTTCAATGGAATAAACTTTTACTTTACGACTTTTGTTTTCTTAATCTCTTGTTCTTAAGAGTCGTATCAACTTTTTCTTATGGCTGTTATCGTATGTCGACGCAACACGAGGGCGATCTGCCAGGGCAATGCCAACCAGGATAACTTTTCTACAGAAAATTGGTCCTTAATTAGGTGTTAGGTACACGAAGAAAACCCAAGACCAAGATTTGTGTTTACTGGTTTTATAATTTTCAATAGTATTCGGCCACAGTCAACCAGTGGCCGAGTGGATTAAACCACTGAAAGTTCGCGCCTTGCCAATGGGCTGGCCACATGGAGTTTTCTGGGTTTTCTTTACGTTAGCAACACCTAAATGGGGCCAGCTTTCCATAGAAATTCTTCCTAAGAGGCATCCCTCTCGGCAGCTCGCTCACGTATCGTGATACATATAAAAACAAACATTCTCAACAGAAATTGGAAGAGGGAATCATAAAGAGCAAAAGAAAAAAAACCTACTTGTATTTTCATCTTTGGCATCAGGTCTTTCTCCATTGATTAGATTAAAACCAGGACCATTAGTGTACATTAAAGTGGTGTAGGACTTATTATCCATATCAGATACATCGGCAATACCCAAAATTGGATTACCACGATTTGGGTAACCATTAATGGTCAATACGTGTGAATGATCTGCAGTGACGACAATCAAGGTTTCATCTAAATTGACTTTATTCAACGCTCTGCTGATAGCTAAAGAAAAAGCTACAGTGTCCTCTAATGCCTTTATTGCACTTGAAACGTGGTGACCATGATCGATTCTTCCTCCTATAGATAAAATAAACAAAAGATATTCTCCAACATTTACAATTCTTCAATATTTAAATAATTAGTACCTTCAACTAATAAGAAAAATCCTTTTTGGCTCTTTTTTAAGATGTCGATGGCTTTTTCTGTCATGTCAGCAAGGGAAGGTTCTCCATCTTCTCCTGTATTTCTTTCCAATTCGTATTGCATGTGGTCATAGTTGAATAAACCTTTAAAAATGTTTTAAAAAATTACATTTAAAGTAATAATTTGAAAAAAAAAACAGAGAGGATTTGCATACCTAATGCGTAATCCGCGTTAGCTACATCAATTTCATTAAATTGCTTCAAGTTCGTAACATAAGTGTACTTGTTGTTACGATTCTTCTTATCCATTTTCCAGACTTCGATCAAATTTCTTCCATCTTTTCTTTGTCCAGTTTGATTACTTTGATAATCTGTAACAGTTTTAGGAAGGAATTTCCTTCGTCCACCTCCAAATATAACCTAAATAATAAAAATTTGCTATAAATACAAAGATTTTCAGTATTTCAATACTGTCAAACACTAGTGGTTCCACGAAAGTGAGTTCAATATAGTAAGGTGTTAGTGATAGAAAGGAAGAGAAAACTACACAGATGTTCCAATTAAAAGTCCAATTTAGAAGGCTCTCATGTGAGAGATTTCACTGTATTAAAGGAATCTACAGGAAGCTCCAGGAAGAACAAATGCTGCTGCTGAGATTTTTTTTTTTTTGTTCTTATTTGCATTTCTCGATTAACAATTCTATAAAGCAAAGGCAAGTATAGTTTATGTGCCACGAGATGAATCTTCTAGTTCTTCTGAAAGTCCTAAGCAGGGGGACAAACCATGTAAAAGACTTGGAGCTTGATTTTTTTTACGTGAAGACACACGAAGAGAGTGTAAACAGAAACAAATCTGATTAGAAAAGTTTTGATCCCTTAAGATAAAATCGCGTAAAGGGTACTTGCATTATATTTAATGTAAATTTTTTACCTTGGCATTTTTTCCTGGAATTTCTTCTACAAGTTGCCTGGCAATATCCAAACACCCCGTTGAATCGGCTGGAACATCATCGTCGCATTCCCAATCACGATGTACAGTATGGGCATAGAGTGCCGCCGGTGTAGCGTGAGTAACACGTGTGGTTGTAACCAGTCCGGTGTCTTTCCCTTTAATTTTTTGAATTTTTATTTTTTATTTTTTGGAAAAATGTTATATTAAGAATCGTATAATTTATAGTTATATAATACAAATAACACTAACCTTCGTTTTGTGACCACTCCATTATGGAACTAATTTCATTTCCTTTACTCGATTTGCATACGCCAACTTTAGCCTTAGCCGTTAACCCAATCATTCCATTTCTGGTTTTAACACCCGTTAAAAACGCAGTTGCAGTCGCAGCCGAGTCGGGTACTTGTTTACTCACGCTGTAAGTCTGCAAGAAAAGGATCATTGGAACAAAAAGAACATCTGAAATTATAATTAATATACAGGGTGGTCCAAAATTCGGTTAACCCTACATTACCAACATCCTGATCCCCGCTCTAAACGCGGTTTAATATTCATATTGACAAAGTGTACTGGTTAAGCGACTTTTAGACCATACTATGTGATGTATAGTAGGTAAAGGTCTTCACAGGGGTGAAGACTTTTATAAGAAAAATGGACCATATACGTGAAGGATACCCGGAAAACTCCACGTAACTAGCCCATTAGCGAAGCGCAAACCCACGACTCAATGTTCAGTGGTTTTATCCACTTGGCCACTGGCGGGTTTCAGCCATCCGGCCGTCTATGACTGGGTTATGGAAATAAGGCAACACAAAACTGGAACGATCTGCCAAGGAAGGAAGACTTTCTATGGGAAACTGGCCCATATTTAGGCATTGGGCACGCGAAGAAATCCTAGAAAACTACACTTGGTGAAATTCAAATTCGCCACTAACTGAGCTTTGGTCGATCGCCCAAGCGTTGCCTAATTCCAAAAAAAATATGCATATAAAAATTAATATAGCCTATCTAGCTTAATTAATTTGAATTAATTACTTCGTAGGCATTAAAATAATGACATTTAAATTATTTGACTTACTTTAATTAACGATACATATGGAAATTTATCAAAACTTAATTTGCTTTCTTCTCCTGGTTTGTTGTCCTTCTGTCCTTTATAGATTCTAGACGAAGTTATGGTAGATATACCCATGCCATCACCCAAAAATAAAATGACGTTTTTGGCTACATTAGTGTTCATTCTTAAGTTCAAAGCTGATTTTAACTCGGCATCACCAATTTCATTCCAATGACGAGCGTTTTGTTCTACAAGAAAAAATAAATTAATTCAATTCATTATATTGTTTACCATAGACTTACCATAATCCCATCCATCTCATTCAAGAATTCAGACCATCGTAGCGTGTTTGAATTCATGAATGGTTTACCTCTACATTGTATGCAGTTTCATGCCAAACCACAAATGTGTTGGCCTGTACTTTGTGTGCAGCCCCATGCCGAGCCTATGACCATGGGAAAGGACTCGTAAAGAGTAGCAGGCAGAAGGCTACAGGAACTGGATAATGAGGAACTTGAACTCATAGAGGTTAAACTAATCACAAAAATTTCTTAACATCCGAACCGGGTCACTCAGAACAATAGGTTGATGTGATTACCGGCGTTGGTTAATAGGCCTTCTATTTATTTACCATTTCTTCTAAGATCCGTAATAAACGCATGAAATTGAATTGGTCGCCATTTTGGAATTGAGTAATCTAAGTACTGATCGTAAGGTTTATTAGGAAAATGCAATTAAGTAAATCCCATTATGGGAATTTTCATATAGGCTATATATATATATATTATAATTCGTAAAGCAATTTACTTACGTAAAAAATAATGTAACGGGGAAATTAGGACACACGAATGCGTGAAGGAAAATAACTTTCAAGGCTAAATACATCAACAAATAATAAAACACGGTTATGTTGTCAATAGTTGCATTGTTCATTGATAACTCCTATAATTATTTTCTTGGGAATTGTCTCTCGTAGAAAAATTTTTTCTAACACAAAATACATGGAATCCTCAATTCTACATACCTTTGTTATAGCTAGATAATCGATCTGTTGATTAAATTGTCATCATTTACAGAAAATCTTCCTATCTTGTGAGCTCCAAGAGGCCTTTCTGCCTTTCTTAGCAAGCCCATTATGAATTTGGCAAGGCCACCATGGTGAATGATGAGGCCTGACATATCCGGAACAGATTGTAGGTGAAAAATGCCTGAGTTTTTTCGACCACCGGGTCCTCCATGTGTTAGGATAATCTTTAACCGCTTGGCAATTCGCCAGTCTAATGAGTTAATTTGAATAACATGGATAGAAAATGTGGCGATTCAATGCAACAATTTCATAAACATGAGCAATATTTCAACACGAGACACTAAAATTTCAATTAAGCAATGGCCATTATATCATAAGAAAATGAAGCAATTCACTAGGACCCACTCGGCCATTGGTGAAGTTTTGTGAAGGGCCTATGCAATGGGAAAATTTCTGTACGGCAAAGCATGGACAATCTGCCGAGGGGGATGCTTCCCGAAAAGTGTTTTATGGGAAACAGACCCCTATTGACGTGTTACTAATATGAAGAAAACCCGAAAAACCACAGGTGGACAACCCGTTGGAGAGGCTCGAACCCACCCCAATTACTACCGTTCTATGGTTTTATCCACTGAACACTGGTGGGCATGAGAAAATTGAATAGAGTAGTAACAACGAAATCCAAGTACTTAAAAGTAGTTATGAATAATAATTTAATACGTAAATAACCCAAAAATTTCTCAGTTATTTTCTAGTTATAATTATTCAGCGATATTCACGCCTGAAAGTAAGCTAAACCGGATCACTTTACAGGAAATATAATACAAAACAGATTTTGATAAAGTAGGAAACATTTCTATGAACTAAATAAGGAAATTACTGGCAATATATTTGCGAAATTTGAAAAATTAAGTTGTAACTTTTGTAGAATAAAAGAAATTACAGGTTTTCCCACAATTTTAAAAGTAGCACGTATCCGTCTGACTGTCTGAATGTGTTAGATAACTATCTAATACATTTAGGTTATGTATATCAAGCACAAAATATATTCATAATCAGGCAATATATACTTATAAGGCTATCTGAATGACAAGCTGAATAATAAATAAGTTTATATTAAGATTTATTGGCAAAACCTACGATCAATACTCCTCAAAAAAGGAGTGAATACCTGATTTTATTTGTTATATTTATCTCTTGTAGAAGCTACCAATATTTTCATCGTTTATGCCCATCAGTGGAATGGATAAAACCACATAACATTGGAGGAGTTTTCTGTGTTTTCTTCACGTGTCTAACACGTGCTTAGGGCCTGTCTTTTTCCGTAGAAAGTGCTCCCTGGAGGCATTCCTCATTGGCAGATCGCCCAAGTGTTGCGTACCTCATCCCATCAATTCCTTTACATGGTAAATACTCTTATTATTTCTGAAAGGAAATATATGAATTCATGTTAGGCACGTGCCCAGGGTGAGGTTTAAAACAAAACACATTGTTTTTTCTTTTATAACGTAGTTTATATAGAGTAATACAACACTAGACATATACTAGATACATGTTCAGTTGATAATGACGTCGTGAATAATTAATTAAATAATTAATATTACTTATTGTGTTTATCATTCCTCTGTTAGGAAAACCCTGTTTATGCTTTATGTAAATATAAAACAGGCTTTTTCAAACAGGAATATAATTAAATTATACGATAAAAAATAACCCCCGTTTTATGACTACAAATAATGGGTTCTTAAAGAGTCGTAAAGCGAGCCTAACATTTTCATAAGTTCAGTATTTTAGTTGTAAAGTTGGTGTTTGTAAAGGTATTCATCCATTGTAAAAAGGGTCTTTATAAAACAACCTAAACACTAGTCAGCCTGTTCTACTGACGTCAACATCAAGTAAAACTGAGACCAACTTAGCTATAATAAACTAAGGAGGGCACAAAATATGTATAATACATTTATTTTTAGTGCTTCCCAAGTGGAAGGGACCCCTAAAAACCCCCTTTTGCACGGCCTTCATTTTTTTTTGTAAAATCATTGTAAAATCTGATGTATCATACTACCTTTACGATATAATTATATGAGAATCTCACATTGTATTTACTACGACTTACCCCACTTTTACGACCTTCTATTTCGAGTGTAAGGCTGTGTATATTTTGTTGGTAGTGTACTGTACGTTGTGTGTGACTTTGAACATAATTAAGTTTATGGTATAAGACGGCTCGTTTTACGACGGATTCGTGGAAATAAGTTTTAAAAATTAGGAATATTGCCTGGTAAATCGGAAAAATTTTCATGTGATTTCTAACTGTCAAATTAAAATTTGTGCGCTGACCTCGTTACTACATATAATTCTTATTCGCCGTTCTTCTGTTTAACGCTACACTACACCCCATTTAGTGCCAGCATCAAATTTAACGTTTAAAATTCAATAGAATTATGGTATTGGTATCTGCAGATGCAATCAAGGAAATACAAGAAAATTTCCCTAGAAATAGGCAATGTCATAGAAATTTCTCTAAAAACTAAAAATTTCCCTAAAAGTAATGATATAAAAATTTCCCTAAAAATAGACGTCATAAAAATTCCCTAAAATAAACAATGTCAGAAATTTCCCCAAAAATATACGTCAAAAATTTCCCTAAAAATGAACAACGTCATAGAAATTCCCTAAAATAGACGTAAAAAATTCCCTAAAATAGACGTAAAAAAATTCCACTAAAAATAGACGTCATAGAAAATTCTTTAAAAATAGACAATGCCAGAAATTTCCCTAAAAATGGATAACGTCAAAAAATTTCCCTAAAAACAGATCATGTCATAGAAAATTCCCTAAAAATAGAAATTGTCATCGACCTAAAGGATGGGAATGGAATAAATTATAACCATAAATACCAGGAATTAACTGTAATTGAATAAATTGAATATAAAAAATATTCAGTCGACCTCGGTTTTAGGACCATTAAATTAACAACTGGTTCTTAAAAAGCGTCGTAAAGCGAGCCCAACATGTCCCCGAAGTCCAGTGTTATAAATTGTTAAAATATTCACTCTAATCCGGCTTTTACGACCTAATTAATTTGTCGTAAAGTGAGTCAACAATCTTCAACACGTTCAGTCTTACAAACTGGGATTAAATACCAAAAAATTTGTAAATTCGTAAATGCGGGGATGGATCGTAAAGGTCGATAACCACGTTTTTCTACAGATACGTGCTTTGCATAGCAATGAGATGGAGACTTTTTCTTTAGAAAAACCACACCCGAAAAACAGCGCGTTATCCTATGGGAAATTGCCTGGTGGGTCCCCACTAACAGAGGGGCCCAAACCAAACATTTATGAGAAAATATTTCCCCCAAAAAAGATTCCCCGAGAAGTCAACACTGTCTGTACATGGGGCCTCCTAATTCAAATTCGCCTGGGCCCCATGAAGCTATAACACGCGCCACTGCTCCGAGAGGATCCATTCTTCCAGGGATTGTAATTTATCATCTTGACATTGAAGATAATTGATTTACAACGTTGTAGTAGTGGAAGATCAACAGATATAAACGGTTAATTGATGAAGATATCCGGGAATATCGCTACTCGAAGCTGTTTTTATCATTCCAACCTGTTTAATACGAATTTCTTTCTTTATATTATCATCAGAAAGCTGTAAATTCATGGAAAATCAGTCGAACCTCCAATGACGGCCACCTCTAAACGACGACCATTTTTTTAAGGAAGTTTGAATAAAAATACGCACGAAAATAACCTGCAAATAACGGCCATTTTTTTAAGTTTGCGTCAGTGACCGTTGTAAAGAGGTTTAAATATCTATTTAATTTCTCCGTCCCTAAGAACTTCTCCCGTTTAGGCAGGTTTCCGTTTTATTCGGGTTCCGTCTTAAACAGGTTTTACTGTATTCGATTCTGTATTAATTAACAAGGATTAATAATTCTTATTGAAATAATGGCTAAAAAAATTGATTTTTGAACCTATTTTTAGTGTATTTTGACACATCTTTAATGGTTTTAATGCTAAATAAATCATACAATGTAAGAAATTAATTATAATTATAATATTTTNGATAGTATTGTGTGGAGGAATCTATAATTCTAAAATGAGCTTTTAGAGGCAAAAGAATGGTCCCAATTGTATAATTTAACCATTAAATAGATTATTTGTTGAAAGAGCATTCAAATTAGCCACGAAAACTATTAGAATGTTTGCGCAAAGTTACGCAGAGGTATAAAAGAACGCACCCTTTATTACATTTCATGTTGTACAAGGGTTTTACCGAATTCCCGAACCGTGTTAGAGTGAACCCGTGCTATAAAAGCACCGTGTTATACGGGGGATGTTCCCAATTCTCGAACCACGTTAGAGCGAATCCGTGCTAAAGAAGTGCCGTGTTATACGGGGGTTACCTGTATATTTTACAAAGTATGAATTTTAAATACGAATATAACTGAAAATATACCTCACTAAGAACTAAATCGATATCGTTAGCAGTCGATTGAGAAATATTCCACGGATCCTTTTCCTCGACCATCATCGAATCAATTGTGGCTTTTTCTATCACCACATCAAAATCTTTATCAGGAAACTTTAATCCTTTAGCATCCATACATAACCATTTCATTTCGGAACAAGCTGAACAATGGTTCTTCATCTTATCAATAACAACATTAGAATAATCTATATTCGTAATGTCATTAAACCCTTCTTTAAACATCCTTTCACTCAATAAACTGTTGCCACAACCTAGAAAATGTGTAAATTTCTTTTAAAAAGTTCACTTTTACATCAAATTTCATATGATTGTAAACAAATATTTCACAGAATGACTATTAATTATTAAAATTTACTTCATAAACTTACCTAACATTAATATTTTATCTGTAAACTTAACATATTGAGTGATTAAATGAGAGAGTGAATCGTAATGCAGGAGCCAGTCGTTATTTTCTTCCAATTCGTACCTCTTATTCCAATATTCTACATCTTTATATACTTCATTCTTTTTCGGAATTAACGTCATATTTGTAATTACACTTAAAAAGTTATAATAATAATAATAATAAAATAAATAAATGTTTATCTATAAAAAGATTCGGTAATCAATCAATAACAAAAACACGTGTCTACTTTTTCCTAGCCACCTGGTGACTGAATTAAGCAAACAAAAAATTTTAATTTAGGAAAAAAAATTATTAAAAATATAATATATTGATANCACGATTTGGGTAACCATTAATGGTCAATACGTGTGAATGATCTGCAGTGACGACAATCAAGGTTTCATCTAAATTGACTTTATTCAACGCTCTGCTGATAGCTAAAGAAAAAGCTACAGTGTCCTCTAATGCCTTTATTGCACTTGAAACGTGGTGACCATGATCGATTCTTCCTCCTATAGATAAAATAAACAAAAGATATTCTCCAACATTTACAATTCTTCAATATTTAAATAATTAGTACCTTCAACTAATAAGAAAAATCCTTTTTGGCTCTTTTTTAAGATGTCGATGGCTTTTTCTGTCATGTCAGCAAGGGAAGGTTCTCCATCTTCTCCTGTATTTCTTTCCAATTCGTATTGCATGTGGTCATAGTTGAATAAACCTTTAAAAATGTTTTAAAAAATTACATTTAAAGTAATAATTTGAAAAAAAAAACAGAGAGGATTTGCATACCTAATGCGTAATCCGCGTTAGCTACATCAATTTCATTAAATTGCTTCAAGTTCGTAACATAAGTGTACTTGTTGTTACGATTCTTCTTATCCATTTTCCAGACTTCGATCAAATTTCTTCCATCTTTTCTTTGTCCAGTTTGATTACTTTGATAATCTGTAACAGTTTTAGGAAGGAATTTCCTTCGTCCACCTCCAAATATAACCTAAATAATAAAAATTTGCTATAAATACAAAGATTTTCAGTATTTCAATACTGTCAAACACTAGTGGTTCCACGAAAGTGAGTTCAATATAGTAAGGTGTTAGTGATAGAAAGGAAGAGAAAACTACACAGATGTTCCAATTAAAAGTCCAATTTAGAAGGCTCTCATGTGAGAGATTTCACTGTATTAAAGGAATCTACAGGAAGCTCCAGGAAGAACAAATGCTGCTGCTGAGATTTTTTTTTTTGTTCTTATTTGCATTTCTCGATTAACAATTCTATAAAGCAAAGGCAAGTATAGTTTATGTGCCACGAGATGAATCTTCTAGTTCTTCTGAAAGTCCTAAGCAGGGGGACAAACCATGTAAAAGACTTGGAGCTTGATTTTTTTTACGTGAAGACACACGAAGAGAGTGTAAACAGAAACAAATCTGATTAGAAAAGTTTTGATCCCTTAAGATAAAATCGCGTAAAGGGTACTTGCATTATATTTAATGTAAATTTTTTACCTTGGCATTTTTTCCTGGAATTTCTTCTACAAGTTGCCTGGCAATATCCAAACACCCCGTTGAATCGGCTGGAACATCATCGTCGCATTCCCAATCACGATGTACAGTATGGGCATAGAGTGCCGCCGGTGTAGCGTGAGTAACACGTGTGGTTGTAACCAGTCCGGTGTCTTTCCCTTTAATTTTTTGAATTTTTATTTTTTATTTTTTGGAAAAATGTTATATTAAGAATCGTATAATTTATAGTTATATAATACAAATAACACTAACCTTCGTTTTGTGACCACTCCATTATGGAACTAATTTCATTTCCTTTACTCGATTTGCATACGCCAACTTTAGCCTTAGCCGTTAACCCAATCATTCCATTTCTGGTTTTAACACCCGTTAAAAACGCAGTTGCAGTCGCAGCCGAGTCGGGTACTTGTTTACTCACGCTGTAAGTCTGCAAGAAAAGGATCATTGGAACAAAAAGAACATCTGAAATTATAATTAATATACAGGGTGGTCCAAAATTCGGTTAACCCTACATTACCAACATCCTGATCCCCGCTCTAAACGCGGTTTAATATTCATATTGACAAAGTGTACTGGTTAAGCGACTTTTAGACCATACTATGTGATGTATAGTAGGTAAAGGTCTTCACAGGGGTGAAGACTTTTATAAGAAAAATGGACCATATACGTGAAGGATACCCGGAAAACTCCACGTAACTAGCCCATTAGCGAAGCGCAAACCCACGACTCAATGTTCAGTGGTTTTATCCACTTGGCCACTGGCGGGTTTCAGCCATCCGGCCGTCTATGACTGGGTTATGGAAATAAGGCAACACAAAACTGGAACGATCTGCCAAGGAAGGAAGACTTTCTATGGGAAACTGGCCCATATTTAGGCATTGGGCACGCGAAGAAATCCTAGAAAACTACACTTGGTGAAATTCAAATTCGCCACTAACTGAGCTTTGGTCGATCGCCCAAGCGTTGCCTAATTCCAAAAAAAATATGCATATAAAAATTAATATAGCCTATCTAGCTTAATTAATTTGAATTAATTACTTCGTAGGCATTAAAATAATGACATTTAAATTATTTGACTTACTTTAATTAACGATACATATGGAAATTTATCAAAACTTAATTTGCTTTCTTCTCCTGGTTTGTTGTCCTTCTGTCCTTTATAGATTCTAGACGAAGTTATGGTAGATATACCCATGCCATCACCCAAAAATAAAATGACGTTTTTGGCTACATTAGTGTTCATTCTTAAGTTCAAAGCTGATTTTAACTCGGCATCACCAATTTCATTCCAATGACGAGCGTTTTGTTCTACAAGAAAAAATAAATTAATTCAATTCATTATATTGTTTACCATAGACTTACCATAATCCCATCCATCTCATTCAAGAATTCAGACCATCGTAGCGTGTTTGAATTCATGAATGGTTTACCTCTACATTGTATGCAGTTTCATGCCAAACCACAAATGTGTTGGCCTGTACTTTGTGTGCAGCCCCATGCCGAGCCTATGACCATGGGAAAGGACTCGTAAAGAGTAGCAGGCAGAAGGCTACAGGAACTGGATAATGAGGAACTTGAACTCATAGAGGTTAAACTAATCACAAAAATTTCTTAACATCCGAACCGGGTCACTCAGAACAATAGGTTGATGTGATTACCGGCGTTGGTTAATAGGCCTTCTATTTATTTACCATTTCTTCTAAGATCCGTAATAAACGCATGAAATTGAATTGGTCGCCATTTTGGAATTGAGTAATCTAAGTACTGATCGTAAGGTTTATTAGGAAAATGCAATTAAGTAAATCCCATTATGGGAATTTTCATATAGGCTATATATATATATATTATAATTCGTAAAGCAATTTACTTACGTAAAAAATAATGTAACGGGGAAATTAGGACACACGAATGCGTGAAGGAAAATAACTTTCAAGGCTAAATACATCAACAAATAATAAAACACGGTTATGTTGTCAATAGTTGCATTGTTCATTGATAACTCCTATAATTATTTTCTTGGGAATTGTCTCTCGTAGAAAAATTTTTTCTAACACAAAATACATGGAATCCTCAATTCTACATACCTTTGTTATAGCTAGATAATCGATCTGTTGATTAAATTGTCATCATTTACAGAAAATCTTCCTATCTTGTGAGCTCCAAGAGGCCTTTCTGCCTTTCTTAGCAAGCCCATTATGAATTTGGCAAGGCCACCATGGTGAATGATGAGGCCTGACATATCCGGAACAGATTGTAGGTGAAAAATGCCTGAGTTTTTTCGACCACCGGGTCCTCCATGTGTTAGGATAATCTTTAACCGCTTGGCAATTCACCAGTCTAATGAGTTAATTTGAATAACATGGATAGAAAATGTGGCGATTCAATGCAACAATTTCATAAACATGAGCAATATTTCAACACGAGACACTAAAATTTCAATTAAGCAATGGCCATTATATCATAAGAAAATGAAGCAATTCACTAGGACCCACTCGGCCATTGGTGAAGTTTTGTGAAGGGCCTATGCAATGGGAAAATTTCTGTACGGCAAAGCATGGACAATCTGCCGAGGGGGATGCTTCCCGAAAAGTGTTTTATGGGAAACAGACCCCTATTGACGTGTTACTAATATGAAGAAAACCCGAAAAACCACAGGTGGACAACCCGTTGGAGAGGCTCGAACCCACCCCAATTACTACCGTTCTATGGTTTTATCCACTGAACACTGGTGGGCATGAGAAAATTGAATAGAGTAGTAACAACGAAATCCAAGTACTTAAAAGTAGTTATGAATAATAATTTAATACGTAAATAACCCAAAAATTTCTCAGTTATTTTCTAGTTATAATTATTCAGCGATATTCACGCCTGAAAGTAAGCTAAACCGGATCACTTTACAGGAAATATAATACAAAACAGATTTTGATAAAGTAGGAAACATTTCTATGAACTAAATAAGGAAATTACTGGCAATATATTTGCGAAATTTGAAAAATTAAGTTGTAACTTTTGTAGAATAAAAGAAATTACAGGTTTTCCCACAATTTTAAAAGTAGCACGTATCCGTCTGACTGTCTGAATGTGTTAGATAACTATCTAATACATTTAGGTTATGTATATCAGGCACAAAATATATTCATAATCAGGCAATATATACTTATAAGGCTATCTGAATGACAGGCTAAATAATAAATAAGTTTATATTAAGATTTATTGGCAAAACCTACGATCAATACTCCTCAAAAAAGGAGTGAATACCTGATTTTATTTGTTATATTTATCTCTTGTAGAAGCTACCAATATTTTCATCGTTTATGCCCATCAGTGGAATGGATAAAACCACATAACATTGGAGGAGTTTTCTGTGTTTTCTTCACGTGTCTAACACGTGCTTAGGGCCTGTCTTTTTCCGTAGAAAGTGCTCCCTGGAGGCATTCCTCATTGGCAGATCGCCCAAGTGTTGCGTACCTCATCCCATCAATTCCTTTACATGGTAAATACTCTTATTATTTCTGAAAGGAAATATATGAATTCATGTTAGGCACGTGCCCAGGGTGAGGTTTAAAACAAAACACATTGTTTTTTCTTTTATAACGTAGTTTATATAGAGTAATACAACACTAGACATATACTAGATACATGTTCAGTTGATAATGACGTCGTGAATAATTAATTACTTAAATAATATTACTTATTGTGTTTATCATTCCTCTGTTAGGAAAAGCCTGTTTATGCTTTATGTAAATATAAAACAGGCTTTTTCAAACAGGAATATAATTAAATTATACGATAAAAAATAACCCCCGTTTTATGACTACAAATAATGGGTTCTTAAAGAGTCGTAAAGCGAGCCTAACATTTTCATAAGTTCAGTATTTTAGTTGTAAAGTTGGTGTTTGTAAAGGTATTCATCCATTGTAAAAAGGGTCTTTATAAAACAACCTAAACACTAGTCAGCCTGTTCTACTGACGTCAATATCAAGTAAAACTGAGACCAACTTAGCTATAATAAACTAAGGAGGGCACAAAATATGTATAATACATTTATTTTTAGTGCTTCCCAAGTGGAAGGGACCCCTAAAAACCCCCTTTTGCACGGCCTTCATTTTTTTTTGTAAAATCATTGTAAAATCTGATGTATCATACTACCTTTACGATATAATTATATGAGAATCTCACATTGTATTTACTACGACTTACCCCACTTTTACGACCTTCTATTTCGAGTGTAAGGCTGTGTATATTTTGTTGGTAGTGTACTGTACGTTGTGTGTGACTTTGAACATAATTAAGTTTATGGTATAAGACGGCTCGTTTTACGACAGATTCGTGGAAATAAGTTTTAAAAATTAGGAATATTGCCTGGTAAATCGGAAAATTTTTCATGTGATTTCTAACTGTCAAATTAAAATTTGTGCGCTGACCTCGTTACTACATATAATTCTTATTCGCCGTTCTTCTGTTTAACGCTACACTACACCCCATTTAGTGCCAGCATCAAATTTAACGTTTAAAATTCAATAGAATTATGGTATTGATATCTGCAGATGCAATCACTCTACAAGGAAATTTCCCTAGAAATAGGCAATGTCATAGAAATTTTTCTAAAAACTAAAAATTTCCCTAAAAGTAATGATATAAAAATTTCCCTAAAAATAGACGTCATAAAAATTCCCTAAAATAAACAATGTCAGAAATTTCCCCAAAAATATACGTCAAAAATTTCCCTAAAAATGAACAACGTCATAGAAATTCCCTAAAATAGACGTAAAAAATTCCCTAAAATAGACGTAAAAAAATTCCACTAAAAATAGACGTCATAGAAAATTCTTTAAAAATAGACAATGCCAGAAATTTCCCTAAAAATGGATAACGTCAAAAAATTTCCCTAAAAACAGATCATGTCATAGAAAATTCCCTAAAAATAGAAATTGTCATCGACCTAAAGGATGGGAATGGAATAAATTATAACCATAAATACCAGGAATTAACTGTAATTGAATAAATTGAATATAAAAAATATTCAGTCGACCTCGGTTTTAGGACCATTAAATTAACAACTGGTTCTTAAAAAGCGTCGTAAAGCGAGCCCAACATGTCCCCGAAGTCCAGTGTTATAAATTGTTAAAATATTCACTCTAATCCGGCTTTTACGACCTAATTAATTTGTCGTAAAGTGAGTCAACAATCTTCAACACGTTCAGTCTTACAAACTGGGATTAAATACCAAAAAATTTGTAAATTCGTAAATGCGGGGATGGATCGTAAAGGTCGATAACCACGTTTTTCTACAGATACGTGCTTTGCATAGCAATGAGATGGAGACTTTTTCTTTAGAAAAACCACACCCGAAAAACAGCGCGTTATTCTATGGGAAATTGCCTGGTGGGTCCCCACTAACAGAGGGGCCCAAACCAAACATTTATGAGAAAATATTTCCCCCAAAAAAGATTCCCCGAGAAGTCAACACTGTCTGTACATGGGGCCTCCTAATTCAAATTCGCCTGGGCCCCATGAAGCTATAACACGCGCCACTGCTCCGAGAGGATCCATTCTTCCAGGGATTGTAATTTATCATCTTGACATTGAAGATAATTGATTTACAACGTTGTAGTAGTGGAAGATCAACAGATATAAACGGTTAATTGATGAAGATATCCGGGAATATCGCTACTCGAAGCTGTTTTTATCATTCCAACCTGTTTAATACGAATTTCTTTCTTTATATTATCATCAGAAAGCTGTAAATTCATGGAAAATCAGTCGAACCTCCAATGACGGCCACCTCTAAACGACGACCATTTTTTTAAGGAAGTTTGAATAAAAATACGCACGAAAATAACCTGCAAATAACGGCCATTTTTTTAAGTTTGCGTCAGTGACCGTTGTAAAGAGGTTTAAATATCTATTTAATTTCTCCGTCCCTAAAAACTTCTCCCGTTTAGGCAGGTTTCCGTTTTATTCGGGTTCCGTCTTAAACAGGTTTTACTGTATTCGATATTACTTTCAGTATTAGAATATTAATTAACAAGGATTAATAATTCTTATTGAAATAATGGCTAAAAAAATTGATTTTTCAACCTATTTTTAGTGTATTTTGACACATCTTTAATGGTTTTAATGCTAAATAAATCATACAATGTAAGAAATTAATTATAATTATAATATTTTTAGATTTATTCCATAAATAATAATGAAATTCGATTGTTAAATGTGACATTTAAGCTGTAATCATAACAAATAACAGGCATGACTTGTTCTTATTTTGAAAAAAATCCCTTGTTTTATAAGTGATAAGCCTGATTAATGATGCAACAAATTCTTTATTTTATTTTATTTATAAATTTCACACACACACAACTGTTTTTACACCTCTTAACAACTATTGATTTGTCTCAATTGTCTCTTAGTGTTACAGTAAATGGCTTATTTATTACAATTTTCATTTATTATTAAAGCAAAATATAGTAAAAACCTATGAAAACCGGTATAAAAAATGCATAAATTGACTGTATTCACATGAATTTATATCATTTATACATGTGAATGTACTCATATCAAATTAAAATATCAATATCAGTGCTTTAGATTGGTCAGATTAGAATGCTGTTATCAATTAGATTGTGTGGATTAACTTCAGCATCACTTATACAATAAGTGATGCTGAAGATCAGAGATGCTAACCCCATTCAGAAAATTATCATCAGAGTGCTGATTTGCACATAAGTTATAGCTTAGGACTGTGTTATAAGTCTATAATTTAGGGCCTTACATTTTTATATGTCATTATTTGTTGAAAGGGAAGGGCCTCACATTTTTTTACATGTTAGTGGAGTGGAAGGGCCTGTTATTTGTTATAGCTTAGCTCTAAATCCAGCTCTGATGCATGATGATGAATGAAACCACTCCAAAACACAGCATTCATACTAAAGCAAAGTATACAAAAATACATAAACCAGATTAATTTAATTACAGTTTAATAGTTTTATTAATTTATAAAACCTCCACACAAATTATGCTCAAATTAATTTATGTTTATAACAGCATAGTAACAAGTTTTTATATGCTTTGTAAGCTGAAAGCAATTAATTTAGTAAGTTATAAACAAGCTTGAGAGACAGATAACCTCTTAATTTTTTTTTTTTTTTTTGCTTATTAGTGATTAAAATAAATATTACTATCAAGTAATTTTATAAAATAAGATAATTTTATTGCTTAAATACCATGATTTTTAATTGAATCATTATATATTTTGACTAGATTTAGTTAAAAATAACCATTAAAACTATGTGAATTTATATTAAAACTCAATACTTTTAATGGATAATTAATTTTAAACTGAATGAAACTCAATAAAGGTAAAGTATAAGGGAAATTGTGTAAGGAAAAGAGGAAATGGGGGATGAATTTCTTGCAATACAAATGAGGAAATTGCCTCAAGGTATTCTCATTTATTCTGAACTTGATAAGTGAGGAAATAAATGTAAAAATCCTTAAAAAGAATTGAGATTTTCTGTGTTTTTTGAATGCAAAACGGATGATTAATTGACTTAATTATAATGTCATACAACTGTACAGTACACACACCCAACCACCTGTTATTGTATTTTAACGATTGTTATTAGAAAATTCACTTTTTACACATAATTCTGTGTAATACTAAGCTTGATATTTTTAGAAATTAAAAAAAAAATATATATAAAATAAGTAATACATAAAAATTAATTTAGGGCAGACATCTTGTTTGTCCGGTTAACAGAATATTTTAGGCCCTAGATAATTTTCTTTTATGAAGGTGTCTGCAGGAATGATTTACTTTATTACACTCGAACACCTGTAACGACGGCCATTTACAATTTCTCGATAGTGGCCGTTTTCACAGGTTTACAGTGCTTTAAATTATATACCTCGCTTTACGACAATTGGAACGTCGTAAAGCGAGGCGTTCTACTTTCTATAAGTTCAATGTAATAAATTAATATTATATCCTTGAAAAAGGGCCTAAAGGAATGTGTGTTTTTTTATTGTTTACCTTAAATATATACTGCACACCCTGCTTTATGACCTAATTAGCAAATAGACCGATGTCGTAAAGCGAGCCGTTTCATCCCCTGTCATTAATCAAGATTAAATTCCCGAAAAATAATAGTAAAAACACTTCGAGAAACACAATTCATACGTTTTATGTTTTATGTATACACGAGGGACCTTTATTTTTGTCGTGAAGTATGGGGAATTAGTACCATAAAGGCCGTCGTAAAGCGAGCCATTCTACTTCATATAAGTACTGTGGATTAATTAAGATTACGTTCGTGGTTCCAACACTAAACATGGTACGTAGGTATTGTATTGTATACAATAGAAACTACGATTCGTAAAAGCGCGGCTGGTTGTCTGTACGTAGTCAATTACGTAGAGGGTGGCCCAAAAGCTATTTTATTATGCGTTATTTAGATAATATTTTAAAAATCGTAGCGCTAAATGGAGGTATTCTAATTAGAGCCATCGAGAGGAGAGCGTTAGGGAAAGATCCCCATCTCCCCCACTCCGTTTTGTATACTAAAAATGCAAAAGAGGCCCAATAAGGGGCGAAATGCACCCACTCTACCCCCGGGCCCGTACCAATCTTTTAACGTCACTGACTCTAATTATATAAGATTATTTCGTACAATGGATATTTAAGGCATACGATGGACAGGTTATTGTCGTAGGGCCTCATATTTTTAAAGGCATATTAGGCACGCTTAAATATATTTTTGACGATATTCGATTTTGGTCCAATATTCCAGTACCAGGTGCGATACAATGTCGATTTACATCATACTATTATATTATATAAATGGGGCCTCACACAACGTAATAGGCCCACTAATTCTCTAGATTCTGAACCTTTCGCAATCAAAATACAGGCATTACGTGTTATAAAAGAAGTCTTACAAGTTCACATTTGATAGGGCCTATTATCACATGAAAATAACTACAGAACTTAGAAACCTTTTACACAAATGGGCTCAAATCTGTTGTGGCCCCAAGTTATAACATATAACGGGCCTTTCTCCTGTACAATATAATGATACGTGTAAAAATACGAGGCCCTAAACTGTACGAAACCCTAAGTTGCAGCGTGTTTAGTACTGTATACATTTCTGGCCAAATCACTCTACAATATCAAGTATTGTTTGTTTATTGAAGAGGCCTCGAAGTCATACAAACTTCCTAGGGCCTTTTAGTAATCTAATAATTCTCTAACAGTCGGAACAGTCTAGATCTTTATCAAAGTAACCTGTGATAAAGGCTTTATATTATACAAAAAAAAGACCACACAAATCCATAGTTATTAGGGCCTTTTAAACTAAAACTCCCTAACGATTTTACGTAATAATTTTTTTTTCTTCTTAAATTATATTAATTTTTATAAATTAAAATAATATACTAACCATCTAAGATATCAGAGAAGACAAAGGTAAAACACAGCAATATAATAACACAGCATATCCCTCTGGGCTTTTCCATATTCTGTGTACAAATAACAGAGCTTCTTCCCTCAAACACTCAACTAAATATGCTAAAAATGAATAAACCTGTTAGGAGCAGCGGAGTCACGTGACCTTCAACCAACTGAATTAATTCCCCCCTCCCTCCCTCCCTCCTGTTAAACTGCAAACGTCGTTCGTTACGTAGAACACGTGTTGTTGCCATACTAGACGACACACAAACGTTTTATATGCATTTTTTTTTTCTTTTAACGATCTAATTTTACCCCTTTATCTATTATTTTTGTTTGTTTGTTCCATTTGATAATTAACAATCAATCAATGAGTTTAAAGGTTAAATATTAGCAATATTTTTATGTACAATTATAGTAAACATCTTAAAATACCTTCTTAATTAGTAATTATTAAGATTTTATAAACGTTAGACGAGAATTTTGTTAATTAAATTTTTACTTCCCAACCTCCTGTTGTACTGTAAAGTTTGGTATTCGAAATTGGGAGACTCGAGCTACAGGTTGGTTATTTATATTACTAAATCGAGGAATCAATTAATTTTATTAATATTTACTTTATTTACTTCCGTTATGTTCAGTGTAAAGTGCGTTTAAACACGTGAAATATTAGTGTTTTGATATAAAGACAGTTTTATTAAGGGAATTTTTATTTTGTTGTGGATTAAATAAGACAATGATGATGAAGAATAAGAGAGGAGTAAAAAAAAATGTGATGAGGATAAAGATTAAAAGATGAGGAGGAGGTTTAATTTGATGAGGATCCAGTCCAACGTCATCACTCCATACCACCACACACCTTCGTCATCATTATACCACCAACGTCATCACTCCATACCACCACGCACCTTCATCATCACTTCGTCATCTTTACAAGAATTGTTTATTATTATTTTAATTACAATTTACAATTAAAACTTTTATATATTCTGAATTATAATTAAATCCATAAGAATTTAAGCACCCGTGTACACGGTTATTGCACTTGTATCACTCCAACCGTACGGATAATGTATTCGAATTTCTATTCTGTAATATTCTTTCGGAGTAAATCCAGAAAAGGTATAACTTCTACCGTAACAAGTAGGAATTGTAATATTCATAGGGCATTCAGACTTATAGAAGTTCCCAGATTTTTGTTTAAGCTGTAACAGTTCAATATTTTAATGGGCAAATTTGAATTTCACTGTAGAATTTCATCGTTTTACTTACCTTAACGTAGGTGAGGAGATAATAATCGGGTGCATTTGATCCAAATAAATCATTAAGATTATGGTACGGCCATTGTATTTTTACCGTTGTACCGGTTACGTTTTCAATTATCAGATTTGGGATATTTCTAGCGGTTTGAAATCTGTATATACGTTTATCCCATAGAATAGACGTTAATCTTACGTCATTAGAAACACCAAACTTGAATTCGTACACGGTGTTGAATTTCAGATCGGTAATTAAATACGGTTGGCCTTGGCCTAAAAATATAAAATGTCATGTGTGATTTACTAACATACGAAGTCCTTGCGCAACCTTCTATGTACAGTACACATCACAGAAACACGCTGTAAATGGCACGTGAAAGCTTAATTCTTGTAGTTTTAACCATTAATCCTTAATGGTTAAAACTACAAGAATTAACACGGGCCTATCTACGGGCTCAGGCCTGTAGATAGGCCCGTGGCACACACAAGGAACGTTCAGTAGAAAACTGGGAAAATGCCATTAAAAGTCGGAATGATAATTACTACAATAGTGTAGTAATTACGACACACGAAAATTACAACTGTAACTGCGACTGGCAACACTGTTGGTGCGCTAGAACATAAGACAATGGACCGATAAAATGGCGGCGACTCTCCAAAAGTGGACGAAGCAAGAGTGGGGAAGAGCTGTGTAGGAGTAAGTTCTTAGAAACTTAACAGGTTGGGACTTCAGAGAATTCCACGGAAAATCTTCCACAGAACTGTGACTGTTTTTTGAAACTTTAGAACTTTACTAGTACACTTGTGTGAAACTCACGTAATCGTACCTCCATGGTCGCAAAATGGCGGCCCGCGAGCCTGATTCGGCCCTTTAAAACTTAATATCCGGTTCTCGGCCTTGATTTATTTTCTAAAACTCAATTTTTCTAACATCTTGCGGGTATTAGAACGGTAAAAAAAAATTTAAACTTCCAAACTTCTGTTTACGTAAGTCGTAAAGACCTGCCAACAAGAGTCTTTGTTAGAGCTTTTCTTTAGTTTTTCAGTATGCTTTGGTTTACCGAATAATAATGAATTCGGCCAAGACTGGCCCTTTGCTCCATTTGAGTTTGAGATCCCTGCTGTATCTGCATGTGCCAATGGATATCGATTGGTTTTTATCAAAAATCGCACAACATTACACCGCTCTTGCTACGTAAACTGTTGGAGAGGACGCCATTTTATTTTCGCGCATCAACAGTGTTGCCAGTCACAGTTACCGTTGCTCTGATTTGGAAGTTTTGTACATCAAAATTGCTCATCCTCCCGAATTTTTAATGGCTTTTCCGGTTTTCTATCGAACCATTTACAACACGCTCCTATTCAAAGTAATTAAAGTCACACAAGGCCTTTATATCCACTCCATATTTTATAATTAATTTAAAAAATACTTACGTACCAATCTGCCAATATATTTTTGACGGTTTATGAGAAGCTTCTTCTGTAAATATTACAACTAAATAACTATACGATTCTTTATGCAACCCAACAGAAAACTGAATCGACGTCGGCGTTATGAAATTCGTTTCGACGTCCAAATCGACAGAAGTTGGTCTATCTAAAATTTATTTTTATGTTAAATTTAAAATTTAATTAAGTTTATTAAATGAAAAAACTAAACATATTTTGTGATATTTACCATTAACATCCACTAAATACAGTTTACTTGCATTTCCATGTTCGTTATGGGCCACACAAGTAAAAAATCCTTCTTGGGACTTTTTTATTGATGTTATAGATATGTTAGATATTAGTGTATCGTCAGAAATTTCCCAATTTTCTCCTACATCATCCATCTTATTCTTATACTAAAATAAAAAAAAAATACGAGTTGCATAACTTTCCGGTAAAAACATTTAAATTTGCTACGACATATGACCCACTACTGTATTTCCCCATCCTTCGACCTTTAACCACCAAAATTTAATAGCATCAATGTCCCTAATGTATAAACCCACATGAAAAATTTCAGAAAGTTTCGACAAAAGGAACAGGATTTATTAAGCTTCAAAGTGGGTAAACAAGATCTTACCCCCCTCCATACTTTTTACATTTCTCGATGTTTCAAGCTTCTCTGAGTCCAAAAATGTAAAAATTATGGGGAGTCACGTTTTAACCGATCGCCATACTTTCTCTCTGTTATATATAACAGAGGATAAAGTAAAATGGAACCGAGTAAATGAGAAAATGAGACTTGTTCGTGATAAATTGTAAAGCATGATAATCCGTACGGATAATGTATTCGAATTTCTATTCTGTAATATTCTTTCGGAGTAAATCCAGAAAAGGTATAACTTCTACCGTAACAAGTAGGAATTGTAATATTCATAGGGCATTCAGACNTTTTAACCGATCGCCATACTTTCTCTCTGTTATATATAACAGAGGATAAAGTAAAATGGAACCGAGTAAATGAGAAAATGAGACTTGTTCGTGATAAATTGTAAAGCATGATAATGACACCATGTTTTTGAAATCAACTGTTAGATGTTATATACAAGAACTTAAATCTGGTATATCAGAGATGTGTCTGTTAGTGTTTTGCACACTAAACAGACACATTTAGCTATTATTTACGTTCTTAATTGGAAGTTTCGTATTTGTTTCCCTGTATTTACCATAATGTAATCTGTTTTCTTGTGTTATTATATCTCATGTAAGATTTGTTTTGTGGTTGGCAGTGATATTGCATGCAGAAGTCTATTATTCAACCTTATTGTAGTCCGTGCAGAGAAAAAAATAGGCATGACAGCCTGCTCAGGAAGGGTCTACGTCAGATGAAAGGCTATACTCGTTGGAATAGACTCTTCCAGCTCAGGCTGATTCGTGTCTACTCTTTCGCTGCGCGTACTATAGTCATTTATATCGATATTGCAGTATCTGATATTGAAATTATTATGATACTTACATTATCTAGCCAATAGTACGAAGGATAAGGATAACCAATCGCTTGACAAAGTAATCTGACATCATCATCAACCAAGTGCTGGTGAGATTCGTAATCTTGTTCAAATATCGGCGTGCCTTTTAAATATTTTAAAGTATTTCCTTACAAAATATTTTAAAAACGTTTAATTTAATATGTAAATAAAGAACCTACCGACGACCCTAATATTCAGCTGCATGCAATTTTTTATATCGCCAAAATTGCAGCATTGGTACACTCCCGTGTCTTTCACCAAAGCAAATTCAAAGATGAGGTCTAATTCTTTACCGTCTCTAACTGTGTAGATTCTATTACTTTTGCTTTAAACAATGGAAACAAAATTACACAATGTAATAATGTTTATACTTAATAATTTTTAAAATAAAACTTTACTTGTTTTTCTCTTCAATTCTGCTGTTATTAGGGTATGTCCATATTAAGTATTCTTTAGGGGAAAGTATGCAATTAGTGATGTACTTCTGACCTTCTTTATAAATTACATCTTCTGATGATATTGCACCTAAATTGAATTTTCGAATTATTGAGTGATTAGTGAAAATGAAGAAGACCTAATAGATAACTTATAGAATAAATTCTGTCAATTTATAACTGATTTCTTGCGTAAAATTCCTAGTCTAAGAGCTCAGAGACAGTCAGACTTAAAGAATTGATACCGTAAAGGATAATTACATAAAGGGTATAGGAATTAAAGTTACTGAAGACAGAGGAATTCTTTCATAGAAGTATACAGTTGTAATCTTTATAGATGTGGCTTGCACCATTGACTGTGTATAAATCTACAGTTCCTCTTATACTGAGCAGGATTACTATCGCACAGGGATGTCCAGTAAGTAACAGAGCCCTGGGAACAATACATAGTGGGAACTCTAAAGCAATAGGCAGTGTAATTTTACATTATCTACTTGTATATTAAAAATATATAATGTAACATGATATGTTTCTATTGTAATACAATGGTTTATACACTTTTATGGCACGCTTTAACATATTCTCTTGGGGCATTTCTCAACTGCGCTTTACAACGGTTGAAGACTTAAAAACAACTGTCAAATTTAGCTTTAATTCCAATATAGAAGTAATGAGCGGAAAGTATTCAGACACAGTAATGTGCCTATAGTCTTTGTAGTCAGTGGCGCATTATTCTATGGGCAAAAAGGGTAATTGCTCGGGTCCCTCACCAGCAGAAGGCCCAAACTGATCTTTTCTAAGAAAATATCTCCCCAGAAGAAAAATGTCTAACACTATACGTGGAGGGACCAAATTCAAATTTGTCTGGGTCCTCATGAAGCTATAACGCGCCACTGTTTGTGGCTGCTCTGTGTCTGGTTATCAGGGATAAAAGAATTTTCAGCCTATAATAAATCAATTTTATTATAAAAAAAATATATATACTTACCAATCGAAAAACAAAAAATGAAGAAAATACAGTTGAAGCTCTTCATTATTGAAATTTATAACTTATAAGAAAATAAATTTTCTCTCCCTATTTATTTGCCTTTTATCTCTGTAATTAAACAATATTATCAGTTCTTTCAAATGTCACAGAACTTATAATATGACATTTGAAAGAGTATTTTTTAAGATAAATGTGTCACGTTTATCTTTAAAAAATTGAAAATTGAACTTAAGTCTTGTTCTTTGTAATCTTATCGCTTCAAAATGAACAATTAACTAGTTAGTAACGTATAAATAGGTGTCAGTTTACCATAAAAGACCTCCCAGGAGGCACCCCCCTTCGGCAGATCGCCTTGCAGTATACGAATAAGCCAAACCAAATCATAGTAAGTCCTGGGAACCCAAACCACCGAACCAAACTACGTCAAACAATTAACTAGTTCCAAGAAATATCCCATAAAATGAGTAGTTCCAGTTCCAATTATCAAAACGTTCTTCATTCTATACTTTCATGAATATGGCATTTCATGATGAGAAGGATTCAGCCGTTCTCACGTTATACTCACACATACAGACGACCAGAAGTAAATTCGAAATTAGCCTATATTTTTTCCAGGACTATCCTGAATATACGTACAAAGTTACGTAGAAATCGGTCTAGCCGTTCTCAACTGATACTCAAACAAATGTACAGACCTGAATTCGATTTAATTATTATAAAATGGCTTTTTGCAAGATACAAACTAAACATCATCAATTAAATTTAGAGACATTTCCGCCATTGCTATACATTCTACCAAATTAGCATATGAGATTTCCTCCATATCCTTGTGATAGAACCTTATCTAATCATTATCTTCTATACCTGAGATTACAATATTTTATTTCTTTATCTTCTAACCTCATTAACTTTTCATGCAAATTATTACATTTTTCTTTTGCCAGCAGAAATTCTGGCAGTTGTAGGGTGTCAAAAGACTACATTTCACACGATAGAACTTCAGACGAATTGTCTGCATCGTTCGTTTTTCGTCGTTTGTTCGGAGCCGCCTGAAGAAGAGAACGTTTCAGTGGACTTGTACGAGGTGGTTTGTCGGGTTTGGACGGGCAATTAGAAAAGAAGCACGGAACAGCATCCTTAATTAGTCGAGGAGTTTTATAAGGAACGTTGACAATTTCCTCTCCGTCTTTAAACGCTCTCCATGAAGGAAGAATTTGATGCGGAGCAAAATGGTCTTCACACACGTGGTCCCGTGCGGTCAGTTCTCGATCCGCACGTGGTATCGCTCGTTTCCATTTTTTTAAACAATTCCAAATCATTTGGTACCTTAAATACACTTAATTTTTGTTTCTTTGGATTATAATTGTCTTTGCAATTCGACACACAACATTTAAAAGGCATGATTTTGTATCTATTTTGTTTAAAACTATCGAATAATACTATAGTGTATTGTAAATGATGACTTCCCGATAAGACGGCGCGTGGTGGCAAAAATCTGAACTATGACTGCATTCTCGACATGTTTTCCAGGGGTATCACGTAATTACAACTATAAATGATTCTCAAATTTCGAATTAATAACAAACAATTGTTTTTTAAATAAAATTAAAAGTTGTATCTTTATATTATTTGGAAATTACGAATTATGGAGGGGGATCGAAAATTATTTTAAAAAGTTTCGTTTAATCGAGGTGGCGCTGTAGTTTAATGGCGGCTGCCTGTCAAATTAAAACGTGTCTTTTTAAAATTGATTTATTTTTATAAATCGTTTTATTTTTTAAAAAAATTATTATATATTTCGGGACGATGCCAGAGATTAAAGTAACGCCGTTAGGTAAGATGTTTAGTTTTCGTAGTTTTTTTTATACAGTAATTGCGTATTTATGAATATAAACCTAATAAATTCCAAAATAAAATTGTAACTTATGTTCAGATAGGAAAATTCTACATTGAACCTTACATGTTAGCTCCTTTTATGCAATTGACCAAATGTAATTTACATCTAGATGTACATCAGCCAATTACATAATCTGGTAGAAAACTGGTTTACACATTCACTCCAATTAAACTGGTCATTACTTAAATCATATAGTCTCAAGGATTAATTTCATATTTAAATAATGGTACAACCTGTGATCGGACGATTGGGACCTTATTTGAGCTGTAGACCATATCCGTAGGAGCAAAAGAGTCAAAGGAACCGTACGTCTGTTTGTGATCCTTCGTGAGATATGGCCTCTGAAATCAGGTCTCATGTGACCGTGAGTTGTGTCGCTTCACTAAGACTATCATGCTTATTTAGCCCACCCTTTGAGTAGCCCACTTGACTGTTTGTGGAGTACTCAATGTTATGTAGCCTACTTTTGGTGAGTGTGTTGACTGAGATGCTTGCTATTGCACAAGCCAAAGTGCATGACTTTGTGCAGAATGTCTGTTGAGGCAAGCGATAGTGAGCCTTCGCCAACATGGAGCATGGAGAATAGGCGGTATACTGATGTGCCATAAAAACTAGTCTTTCGAGGCAAATATCTTACAAAGGATTGCATGTATGGGTATGGTTCCTTTGATTTTTTTGCTCATACAGGAGGTCTACAACTCTGTGGGTAGGAAACTTTTCATTCAAAGTGTACATCTTACCCAAATAATAATTATCATTCGAACAATTTTGGGTCAATTTAAATCCTTTATCTTTTTTTTAAATCCAACCAGAGACAGAGAAGGATTGTACTTATCTTCAAGTTGTCTACCATCTTTCTCTGGCTGCATTTTAAAAAGGATTAAACGTTTAAATGAATCCAAAATTGTTTATTTGGTCATTATTTAAATTTTAAACTGGTCATGTATAACACAAATAACACGTAAACAAAAAAATCAGTTAAAAGTACCAATGTTCCTTGGTACTTAATGTTTATCATTTTAGATAAATTAAAATGTTTGTAATAGTAAAGTTTGGTAGTGTTAGCTGATTTCTTTTAGGTGTTTATGTGTTATTTGTACCATTTGATAATTAAAAAACAATATTTAACTCGGGAAAAATGTATCAAACACTCCAGAGCCTAGAACAAATATACTAAACTAGAATCATTAAGTCAAAAAATGTAGTTAGCAATTCTGATACGAAATGTCTAAGAGGTTGCAATGAACATTTTACTGATGAGAATCGCATATCAAAATACTGTATTAATTCAAATATAAGCCACCTTAAGCCACAGTAGGAGTTTAAAACTGGAAAATTGGAAAAAATAATAAAAGATAAAAATGATTTTATATATATATATATATGATTTATGTCAATTGGAGTGTATCTTCCTTTTCTAGGCTTCTATAATGATTTTCAGTTATTTTTACACTGAAATAACTTTTCCTTCATGGCTCTCCAACACACATTCTTTTCGTCAACTGTAAATCTTTTACTGGTTGCGCAATTTCCAATTTCTTCAGGCACAATATAACTTTTCTTTTGAATTCAGCATCATATGTAAACCGTTTTTCCATTATTAGTGAATACAGGTAATGAAAAACTTTATTGAATTGAATCGGAGTTATAAAGGAGCTTACTGAGGTTCCTAAATAATTCTAATTTAAAATTAATTTCATTACTGTAAAACTGTGAATAGTAATTATACATGCTTATAATATGCTTTTATTATATTTCAGGTGCCGGACAAGGTATTTAAAATTTCAAGTTCCTAGTAATTTTATGTGAAGAAAGTCTAGAGATTAACAAGATTAACATTAAGATAACTTAATTTTTCATTAAATCTTCTAATATATTTGTCAAAATTTTGAATTATTTGTAAACATTTTAATGTCGTTACTTTGTTGTTTTAACAGATGTTGGTCGTAGTTGCATTCTTCTTACAATAGGTGGGAAGAATATCATGCTGGATTGCGGGATGCATATGGGTTATAACGATGAGGTGAGAGTATATACATATGTTACTTGATATTATATACATATTACATGGTTGCTGAGTATAATTGCTATCGATACCATAGATTATATCTGTTTTCAGTTCTCGTGTGTTGTCAAATCTAATGCACATCTGATTTTCGAGACTTCAAAACATGAAAAAAAGTTAGAAAATGTAATGCATGCCCTATATCAGATTGAAATTGAAGTGGGAGGAACATGCTGTCTGCACTGTAATATATGCGTATCTTCCAAATGGAGTGAGGAGTGAACAAGACTGAATTAACTTTTTCCGTGTGATCCTAAGGCGCACATTGATTCCATAAATCAGAAAAATCCAAAAAAGTGAATATTAGAATTCGAAAACATGGTAGAAAAACTATGTTTAATTTAAGAATTTAATGTGCATTTTAACATGTTCAGTGCTAAAGATGCCTTGGAGCATTATACACTGCTTTGCCCGATTTGCTGACAATGCACACGAGTATCCTCAAAGTTTGATTATATTATCGCTCGGAGAAATTTTATCACTTTGTTTATAGGAAAGAAATTTTATTGTAAACTTCAAAGAATATATTTTGTCTATCAGTTTTACATTAAAGTATTACATAATTGCAGAGGAGATTCCCAGATTTTAGTTTTATAACTCAAGAAGGTGGCTTAACAGACCATTTAGATTGTCTGATAATCAGGTAAAAAGTGTATTCTGTATTAAATTATTTATGATAATTAGAAAGATCTTAATATACAGTTTTACATTTCTTTAGCCATTTTCATTTGGATCACTGTGGTGCTCTTCCATACATGACAGAAATGGTGGGTTATAACGGTCCTATATACATGACTCATCCAACTAAAGCCATTTGTCCAATTTTGCTTGTAAGTAATTTTTAACAAATTGAATATGTTTTTATTAGAGCTCTTTTACTAATTAAAAATCAATTCTATAGGAAGATTATAGGAAAATAACTGTCGATAGAAAAGGAGAAACAAATTTTTTTACTTCCGCAATGATTAAGGATTGTATGAAAAAAGTCATAGCTGTGAATTTACACCAGACTGTACAGGTAATTAATTATTTAATATGAATGATTTAATTTAATTATTCATTAATTAGAATTATTTTTATGTTTTGTTGATTTAGCATTTAATAATGTTAGTTATTTGAAAAATTTATTTAAATTATCAATCATTTTGCTTATAAGGTTGATGAAGAACTCGAAATCAAAGCATATTATGCTGGTCACGTGTTAGGTGCTGCGATGTTCCATATTAAAGTTGGAGATCAGTCAGTAGTATACACGGTATTTAAATTCTGTTTGTTTATTATTAATTTTTTAAATTACTTTATTATCGAACATCTCCAATAATTTATTTTTTATATTATTCCATTTCATAAAGTATGAATTGTCGAAAAATCCTTAAACAATATGAAATACAGGGTGTTTCCTTTGAATGTCCCTAGTTTTAAACTGTTCTGTAAAATCTATTTATTCAGATATGTGAATAAAATGTGTTGGAGAATGTTAATCATTATGCTTGAAAGGGCCACTGTTGTTGCATGGTGGTGATCTGGACTTCAATTGACGCACAGTTTAGATTGCAGGGTTCCCATTTCTTGGTCTATCCAATCATCAGACATCAACATTTGCTTTGTGGGCATGTCAAGGATTGTGTATAAGCTACAAAAGTGGCAGACACTCCGCTTTTGTAACCTGCAAACAAGAGTCATAGATGCCATTTTAACAGCGTAACTCCTAATGTGCTGGCTACGTTAGGATGCAACACACATCATACATATTTGTCACGTTGATAGTTTATGTGGAAATGTACTAATTCAATATAGTAACTAAATTTTTCAGCATTTTTTTATTACTATTGTCGACAGTACTATATTTAAGTTTCTTTTCCCAAAATTACTTCACAGAATTAGGGAAATTTTAACACTTATAAAATCGTAAGAATGTTTATTAAAGTCAGACAATCTACTATATTATCAGGCTATAATAAGGCTAAGTTAATAATTAGTTATGAAGTAATTTGTCTAGAGGTAGGCGGTTATATAATTTTAATAATTATGATGAGATAGTAGCCTAACTGTCTACCTCTAGACAAATTACTTCATAACTACTTATTAATTTAGCCTTATTATAAAGTTTCTTTGTAATTTTCATTGTCATGTTCACTGTTAGAAAATTATTTGTTTTGTAAATATTCTGAAGTGTGTGTATTTTATATTTTAATGCTTATTCTAGATACCTGATTATCATTACCAGAAATACAGACTACATAATGTCTTTTTTTTTTTTTTTCAGAATTTCCACCATTATATAATCATCAAATAATAAATAAATAAATTGTTTATCTCAGAATATAAATCATATGTTTATTAAAAGAGAAATCGAGATTCTGGCAAAAGAAAATGCAATCTGCTTTTGTACTCGATTACCTCTTATTCTTGTTTTAATTGTTAGTAAGAAACATAAGATTGCTTGAGAGAGAGCGTGAACTGTACAGGAACACACAAAGTTAGATATACTTTATTAATTCTGGAAGATGTGCATTTTGGACAACATTAGGGGCATGTTATTCGAAATGGATATCCTCCAGAATTAACAAAGTTTGTAAATTTAACTTTGTTGTGCATTCTTATATGATTTATTTCTCTTACATAATCTTATACTTAATCCTTACAATTTGTTTTGGTTCTAAACAGGATCAAATGCTTTTCTTATGCAGAAACAAACCACTTCTTTCAGTAATATGCCGAATAAATAGTTTTGTTACATTTTGAACTCTCGTCGAGAATAACACATTTAAAAGGTTATTAGCTTTATTCCAACAGAAGGTAATTTTTAATCATGCCAATTGATTGCAATAATTGAAATCTTGATTTGATTAAATAAATAACATCTGAAATGTAAATGTTACTTCATAAAATGTATATTTGCAAGACCCTGAATTGTTAACCGAATTGGTTTCCGGTTGAGAGGAACAATCGTTCTTATTTCCAAAACTAAAGATGAGAAATTCTTTCATTAATAAAAGTAGAAAACAAAGATTCAGTTACTTTTCATTCAAAGAAGATAGTAAGAAAGATGTCTTGATCAGAAACTAAATCTTGTAATGAATAGTATCTTAGTAAATATATATATATTTTTTTAAATAAACAACTTAAATTTTCAATAATAATTAAATACAAACAATACGTAGTATTTTATAAGTGATTTTATTTAGGGAGATTACAATATGACACCGGATCGCCACTTAGGCGCAGCTTGGATCGACAGGTGTCGTCCCGATTTATTAATCACCGAGTCGACCTACGCGACTACAATCAGAGATTCTAAACGTTGTCGAGAAAGAGATTTTTTAACGAAAGTCCACGATTGTATCGAAAAAGGTGGAAAGGTAATCTTAATATATTTATATGTATGTATAAATTTAAGTAGAGATATATTAGAATTATTTATTGCAATTTCCACAAAACATTAGGTTTTAATACCAGTATTTGCATTGGGAAGAGCTCAAGAACTTTGCATTCTTTTAGAAACGTATTGGGAAAGAATGAATTTAAAAGTACCGATTTATTTTGCTGTCGGTTTGACGGAAAAGGTAAAAACTTGGAATTAATCTCATTCTTTAAACATCTTTTATATCTTCTTTCTTAAATTTCATATTATTAGAGATATTTTCAAGTAATAATGTTATTAATAAAATTATGCTGATAAATTACATTCATAGAATTAATTTTAATGTTATGTTTATCGTAATTTTCTAGGCAACCAATTATTATAAAATGTTTATTACTTGGACTAATCAGAAAATTAGAAAAACATTTGTACAAAGAAATATGTTCGACTTTAAGCATATAAAAGTATGTACATTTTTAAAAAACATTTTATATTTTATTTCATATTTTTGCTTTTTATTACATGCAACTTTTAAGTTATGAAACTTGCATACCCATTTTTCCTAGTCTCATCAAGCCTAAGACTCATCTTTGTAAGAATACATAGAAAAATAAAATAAAATCCTTCAGTATATCATTCTTTTATCATTGGTTATCAATGTAATAGAGGGTAATGCTAATGAAACAATGCGTCAGATATTATTTAGAGTGTTGCAAATATAAATATTAACATAACAATCTGGCAATCTATACCGATATCTGTGGCAATTTTTTTAGAGTGTATTATTTTGTTGGCATTATTCTCTGTACTAATATTTGCTACGGTTTCTAATACTGTAAGTTTTGAAACATTTGGTATTTGTTGCTTAAAACGTTTAATATCATTTCATTTGATGTGTAATCTACCATACAGTTATTTATGCTGGTTCCGATTTTACAAATTTAAGTACTTTTCAGTGACTTTAACGATTTGTGGCATGTTGTATCTGAAATATAAGATATTAATTTTGTCACTTCACTTTGGTTAATGTTTTAAAACTTTTTATATAATGTCGTACGACTGGTTATTTAGACTGAATGTTTAACTCTGTTAAGTTTTTTCACTGCTCTATATGTTTATCTGACAACGGTGCTGGAGACCAGTGTTTCTTGACCTTTTTCTCGTTGTGGACCAGTAATTGTATGTGACTATAAATTATGCTTATATATGCTTAACTAGAGCTACTATACATAACTCTAGATTACTATTTAAATGTCCCCTGTAATCAACTGTGCCAGCATCAGTACAGTCGGATATTTTTTCTTATAGCCATTTGATCGTGCTTATATAGACAATCCGGGTCCTATGGTTGTCTTTGCGACTCCGGGGATGCTTCATGCCGGACTTTCTCTTCAGATTTTTAAGAAATGGGCTCCAAGTGAAAATAACATGGTAAATAATAATTCTTCAGGCTTTATTTTAAAATGAAATTATTTTTCTGATTAACTATTAATTAAATATTACAACAGAATTCTTATATAGATGTATTAATTGTGAAAATTTTTATTGTAAGGTTATTATGCCTGGTTATTGTGTAGCAGGAACTATCGGTCATAAAGTGTTGGGCGGAGCAAGAAAAATTGAATTTGAAAATAGACAAGTGGTGAGTTTCCATTTATTTGAAATATATTTTTACATATATATATACTATATGTTATTATAAGTATTTTACTAATTCAAACTCTCAATGTAATTAATCAGGCTATTATTATGCTATAATTAATAATTAAAAATTAAGTAATTTGGTACTAGATGTAGACGTTAGATGCCATCTGTTATATAATTTAATAATTTATTAAATAATTTAGAACTTTTTGGAAGAAAAGAAGTATTCCGGAGTGTGACTTGAACCCGCAACCTTCTATTTTCGTGTGGTGCTCTTGCCAGTTACGCCATTATTAATTTATACTAAATTATTATAATTATTTAGATAAGAAAGAGATGGCACCTACCATCTACCTCTAGTACCAAATTACTTAGTTTCTAATTAATAATTACAGCATAATAATAGCTCGATTGATTATGGCAAGAGTTTGGATTAGTAACAATACATCGGTCCTCAGGATGTTGGTATATATACACAGTTTGTTCTATTTTTTTTTATACCAATGGTGATGTTACTGCAATGGCAAGTGATCATTGTAGATGGATTTTTGAAACAATATTATCTATTTGATAGCACTTTTACTCAATTTTTAGTTCATGTTTAGGCAGAAAAACTGTAATATACTTAAATACGGACAGGTCTCAATGTTCTTTTTCTTATATAATATTTTTATACTCCTGCATTGCTTTTCATATGTTAAATTTGTAGATTTTTTTACATTTTTAGCTTTTATATAGTGGCACTTTCTTTCATTTTTGGTTTCAATAGCATATTGATTGACTTAAAATTAAGATCTGTAGATAAAAGTTTGATAAACTAATATTAAAAAGTAAATATCACATCAAAATGCTACCGAAAATATGAAAAATTGTTGTTTATATAACTTTTGAAAAATTTTTTAAATTGTTTTTTATTTCAGGTAGAAGTAAAAATGTCAGTTCAGTATATGTCTTTTAGTGCGCATGCAGACGCTAAGGGAATTATGCAATTAATTTCTCATTGCGAACCGAAAAACGTACTTTTAGTACACGGAGAAATGACAAAAATGGAATTTCTGAAGAAGAAGATAGCGCAGGAATTTGGTTAGTATGATTAGTATATATTAAAAATTCTAATCATTAATAACGACTCTTTTCACGTACAAATTATGCTCGTCTGCTTCAGTAAAAACTTTGTAAGTTATTGAAAATACTATAATATCTCCTCGTTTTAGCATTTGACTGTTTGGAGTTTGGTTATACGACTAAATTCTGATTAACGGATTATTCAGAAAGTGAAATTAAGACATTACAAAAACAGTCTTTACTGTTAAATATTATCTTATAATTTAAATTAATATTTAAAAATTAAGTTAAACGTAATTAAGAAAAGTTTTATTTTGTTTGTAGGTCTGGAATGCTATATGCCTGCGAATGGAGAAAGTGTAACTATTAATACTCCTGTTAATATTCCCGTCGACGTTTCACTTAGCTTGCTTAAAAAGGAGTTGGTTAAGACAGGTTTGTTCTGATTCGTTATTATTATTGTATATTTTCCAATTTAATTAAATTCCAAAGTTAATAATAATCTCCAATGTCTTTGCTTTACTGAAGTATTATCATAAACACTTTCCCGACAATGTCCCTAGTACTTCTAAGTTTCTTCGGCTCATCTTCGAGATTCATATTCACAGTTGAACCTTCAAATTTCAACTTTTTAATATTATTATTGATGTTCTCTATATTTTAAATAGTTTTTATGAATATATAAGTTGAATGGTGAATAAATGATGAATTTTACATTTACCCATCACAGTTTCTCAGTGTGTGTGCGTCGTGTCACACAGCACACATCTAACTGACACTCAAATTCTTCCTACGTTCAATACAGCATATCCATTGTCAATCTGCAAGCTGTAGGATTGAGCTGCTGTGAGAAATGGCAGCCACAATCCTACAGCTTCTGCAGATTACTTGCATTGCAATGCGACAAGTGATTCTGACTTGCAAACTGCAGAAACGAAACTTTTTCCTATTGCGGAGTCGTCATTTTCGTTTGTGGTGCTTCCTGGAAGTAGTAGACAATGAGACAATTGAATGCAGATGGATGATGAAAGTTATACAGTTTCTCTGTTGATTGGTGTATGTCGCATACTTCTCGGATAAAAATTAACACAATCGCAGTAATTTAAAATGGTAGCATTATTTTGGAAGACCTGTATAAATCAAATATTGACAGATTTCTTTCATTTAATTATTACTATAATTAGAACTATAGATGAATGACTCTTATCTTGTATGAAATTTAAATACATCAACTATTTTATGCTAATTGAGGGCAGTAGAGATTCTGTAGATTAATGTTTGTAGTTGGTGTAATAACTAATCTGTATTGTTTGTATCATAATCTGAATTACACACGTATTTGGGAACAACGATCAGATTGTAATGCACCTGCCCAGTATGCAGGAGTTGCATGGTTCAAATTCTTGTTTCCATGGTAATATTGCCTGTCTGTAATTCCAAATTATAGAAGTAAATTAAATTATAGAAGTAAAAAAAAACTGCAGAATTGCAAATTTTTACAAATGCATTAAAGAAATTGTATTATGAAATACACATTAAAGGTAGCAAGATCTACAGAATCTAGATTTGAGTCTATCAGATTTTCGGAAATTTTTGTGGGTGATTGACCCAGATGTCTAGGTCCATATCCGTACCCAATTACCTATTAGCCTGATAAATTTATTATGGATATTCAGAATAATGTCCTCTCGGTCAATTTCTGTACAGAATTTAACATCAAATATCGGAAAAGTTTTTAAATGTTTCTATTTTGCCGCCGTCATATTTCAGTGTTGTTAGATTTATTATTTTATACTAAAAAGTATCGAAATAATGTCAAGACTGTCTGAAATACTTGACAGTTTGATTTTACATATGACTTTTGTGTAAATGTTGCGATTAAATGTAGATTTATACTTAAAATAATATTTCAAATCTATCTAGGATCCGACTCAAAATATCCGAAATTACTTCACGGGGCTTTAATGATGTACGATAATGTAAGTACTTTATGATTAAATAAATAATGTGTTTAATGTATTGTTCGTTTAAAATATTGATTATGTTTCAGACTTTATGGTTATTAGAACCGGAGAGAGCAATGGCGGAAGTTGGGATTACCGGACACCAAATAAGGTTCACTTCCACGGTCAGATTAGAAGATCCAACAGGAAGTCCCGCGGCCAGAACTGCCGATACGATTTACCAAAAAATGAAAAGGTATCAAAATACATTTATTCAGAAAATTCTATTTACACTTAAGTTTTCATTAGCAATTGCAATAATTACACTGTATTCTATAAAAACTCACTTTAGACAACATCAAATTTAGTAGAAAATTAAGAAGATATTTTAAAGAACAATATTGAAAAACAATATATTAACAGGGATGTTAAAATACAGTGTTGACCCTTTATTATATGTGCAAAAATGTTCACAAAACAGTACTTAATCATTTTCGGCTTTATCAGAGGTTTCGTTGTCGTCGTGCTCTTTGCTTCCTCGAACAGTACGTCACTTTGTATCCTGTGCAAGTCGTTGCTAACACATTAAAGCTCTTAATACTACTGTTCTTTTAACATTTACAAGAATATGGAAAATTTTTATCACTTATTTAGTGTCCTGCATGTTGGGTAGTAAGTTGTACGGCATATACATCCTGCCGTGAAAGTAGAATTTTTAGAATGTTTTGTACGTATTCCAGAAAGTATACTTTCAGTTTAACAACTATTGAAAATGAAACTGAAACTCTGACTCTGTGTTTTGTTTTTGCTTGTCTTATTTTTCTTATAAAACATTTTATTTTTTAAGAAGTTTTTTGACATTATTACATGACCTTGTAGCAGGTTTTGGCAGCAGAAAACTTGCGTTTTTTGATTGGAAATTGTTGTCTGAATAAAGATATGTAGTTAATTTTTTGGTGGGAATTAGTTGTTTTTATTTATACCAGATGAAACTTGCTAATTTTTAGTTTTGTTATCAATATTATTTTATAAATCACATAACTTTTACCTGTAGAAGTTACCAGGACTAATTCCGTTTGGTAAATACAGTCGGTTAATTTATTATTTATGATTGTACCAAACACTTAATTTTTGTGCATAGTAGTTTGCGGGTTGAAATTTGGCTAGCATTTAGCATTGCTAAATAATTGACACGCCAGATTTTAATGCCATTTTAACTCTTTACAACGTGTATCGCAGAAAATTATTGAAATTGAGGAAAACTTTATTTGGCCTTTGAGTATACGTCAAGGACCATATAGGTCAAGACTGATTTTTTTCTCCCCTTTGCCTCTTTAAAACTGGAAGAAAGACAGACTTATATTTGGGAACACTGTATATCTTGAGTGATTGTTGTTAATATATATAGTTATCAGTTATTCAATCATAACAGAAACAAATGGTAACAGTCAGTTTGCTTTTCTACGGAATTTGGCTTCAAGTCTTGTCAGATCCTCAGAAATTATCATGGTAATTTGACCCACATATGTCCAGGTACAAATTTCAGTGGAAATAACAGCAAATTTGAATTATTTAATAATTCAAATTCATCAGATTTGTCAGAAAATCGTATCAAATTTACAAAGATTTCAAACAAAAACACTTTAAATTGGTTTAGAGATATTTTTATACCAGATATCTGTAATAAAGAACTCTAGTAATGTCGTAGATCATCTTTGATGATTAATTAATCAATTAACGTGTAATTTTTACCGATTATTTATTTACATCCAGTTTATAACTAGAAATAAGATTGTTTGTATAATTATAGCAAATTAAAAGACAGGAACATTCAAATGTTGGCTGACGGATCCATTTCGATAGCGTCCGTTTTGATTAAAGTCGACAACATCGACGACGAAGTGAAACATGTCTATGTATCTTGGGCGTATCAAGTAAGTTCGTTTATCTGTAAAAATATAAGTTTATATTCTCTTCTATAAATGGAGAAGTAAATTCTACACAAATTTATTTTTTTATTTACAACAAATAAAGTTAGGGAAATGATAGACATTTTGAGTGGAAAAAACAAATTATTTATGATTGAAAACTTCGAAATACTCAAATTACATGTTTCTGTGAGTAACACAAGCCAATTAGATCATTTGTTTGTCATTTTTCATTGTCATTGTGCTTCTTCTCATGTTTATATGGTGTCAGCATTCCTATCTTTAATTAATCTTCTTCACTTCTTTCTATCCAAGGCATTCTCTCTCCTCCATGTCCCTCCAAATCCTCTCCCACTGTGTCTCACCATCTTAGCTTTGGTCTTTTTTGCTTTCTCCTCTCTATCACTTTCAACTTTCCAACACTCTTTCTAACATAAACTTCACTTCTCTCCACATGTCCAAACCATCTTAATCTACTTTCCTGTATCTTCTTACTTACAGGACCCACCTTGGCTGTTCCTCTTACTTAATCATTCCTAATTCTGTTCTTTTTTTATCATGCCATACATCCATCTCAACATTCTCATCTCTGATGACTCCGTCTTTCCCGTGTTCTTGTAATTGCTCACAGTACTGTAACTCATTGCAGGTCTTACCGTGGTGTTATATAATCTTTCAAATGCCATTAATACATCATATTCGAATAATACGACAGAAAAGAGAACACGGCATCACATATTTGGTTGTATTCTGTTTTCTTTTCCCGAATAGCAAAACATTAAAGCGATTAAAATGCAATTTTCTGCCGAAAATGTCTAGTGTGTTCCTACCTTTAAAGAAACGCAAACTTGCAAAGTTTACTTAATTTATTTTCTCTTATATCTTAGAAGTGTATAAGATGTATAATTTTAATTACTTCTTTTATAGGATGAAGAACTGGGAAGCTATCTTCTATCTATCGTTCAGGATATGCAATAGATTTGTAAATTTGACTTTTTTTAATCGAAAACGGTCAGATTTTTTGGCATTTAATAATTTTATTATTCATTTTCAGGTGTCCGGAATGGTTCATTGTACAAATCATCAAAATTACTAATTAATAAAAGATTTTTTTGTATATAAAATCGAAAGCTTTTTTCCTCTCGAACACACCGTCTCAATTTGAAGGTCCTCAGATGCCAATTGCACAAGAATTTTTCATAATTTATTTATAAATAAATATAAACGACCTTTACTGCCTAAGTCTTTTGGCCCTCGTTGCTCGGAAAGAGGATAACAAACAGCTTTCGGAAGTTTATTCTCAAAAACTTTTTGGGATAGATTAACTTCTGCTTCATTTGTCTAGATTGTGGCATTTTGCTGTATATTAATGCTATAATTTATGCTAAAATATTAATTTTGGCTATTAGTATTATAAATTATTAGACAGTGTATCATAATGGCCAAAGCATTAAAGGTAATAAGGAACGTTAATGTGCGAACCGAGGAGGTAGAGCGAGAGCTTCTCCCCACTTACCGGCTTGGCTGTCAGAGAATGGCTATAGGAGGGCTAAAGATATGAGTGGGGAAGAGTCGGAAGTCGTGACCAAGTGTCCAAAAGACTACACAGGTTTAAATAAATAAACACATTTACTAAACAAATAAAATAATTATACATAAAGATAATAAATACAAACACGCGTATCGAGATATAAATACGTATTCTAAAATCTAAACTATCCTAATGCCTAAAGATCGAGAAAGAGACCACACGTTGGAGAGAGAGATAATTATGGCAAGGGTTTTCCTCGTAGGGAACCCTCTCATGTTATAGGGCGTTGATAAAACACTTTGTGATCGTCGTCTTCTAATCCAAGGTGTCCTTTGAAGGCTATGTGGAGCGATGTCCTTCTCAGGTCGTGAGACTATGTCCAGATGCGGTGTATGCTCCGTCGCTCCTAATCTGTAGAGAGTTCTTCCTGGTGAAGTTCTCTCGGAGGTTTCTTCTGTTAACCTCTTCGAGGAGTAATTCCGTCGTATATGGAGAGAATAGAAAATATTCAAAGTCTTTTACCTTTTTATGGAGCGGCGATTATGAGCTCCGTAGATCCTGAGAGTGCTGGAAGAGTAAGTAGTCCACTGCGTTATCTTCCCTCGACGATCGCTGTCGATGTGACAGATCGTTCCCCTTTTATACCCTTTTAGCGTGGGAAATCTCGGGGACTCCGTTGACGCAATAAGTCAGTTCTCCCGATTTATGACAGTCTCCCCCGTCATGGGTGACGACATTATTGACATCGCTTGACCAATTAATATTAAATGCGTCATCACCTGGGGAAATGACTGACCATTTTTGGTAATGTTTCTCACCGCAAAGTTGACCCTTGTAGGTGACCTCTTGTCTACTCTCGCCACAGGAACACATGTCTGTTTTCATTAATTGGTCATACCGCAGACACCTTATAATAGAGTAGACTCCTGGGGAGAGGGGAAATCTTCCTCGGACGACTTCGTCCGTCAACAAGGTCATCTTCATTGTCCGGGGTATATATATAACATAAAACATAACATTACACCAGGCGTTAAGACAAAAGGCTGCAACTCGCAAGGAGTCTCGAGAGTTTAAGCCTTTCGTTCGATCGCCTGGATCACCGTCGTCTCCAAATTTCTCTCATTTGATCTCCCCGGACGACATAACAACATATTTTAAACGACCAAGTTCTCCGACGGGGAGACCGGGAGAGTGTTTTGACGCGGCCCCAGATTTATGCGGGGCCCTCAGAAACATTTGTAACAAATGTTTTTGAGGCCCCCCATACGAAATAATGAACGTTCTTTATATTCATTTTTGGGTGAATATTTTTTAAATTGCAACCTAAACCAGTTTATTAAGGGGACATTTATTGATAGAATAAACTAAAATATAGTATTGTGCTCTAGTTTTTAATAGAAAAAAAAAAAAACAATATAATCTACCAAAAGATTATTTAAATTGTATTAAAGAAGAGGTTCAACGAACTGCCAAGATAGAGTTAATTAACATTTAGGATAATTGACAGTCTTAAATGCAATTATTAAGACAAGTTTAAATTGCTACAGGTTAATAATTACAATAAAAATAGTGATTTTAAAATATTGTATGATTCTAATGAGATATTTAAAAAGTAAAATTGATGTCAAAAGTTTATTGAACCCATCACAAAGGTAAAAATGCGAATTTTTCTCTTATAAGCAGCAACTTAAAAATATACACCGTCTTCATCAAAGCTGTGAGAATGTAAATTTCTTATGTATAATCCGGATTGAAGACTTAAATGTAGGATTTATCTGTGAAAGCTTGAACAAAATTAATGGTTTTGCGAATGATTCCACGCCATTATCTATAGAAATAGTACAGTTTTCTTATACAGCATCCCAGGATTCGCATTAAGTCGGAAGATATCCAACAGATTGTCATTCAATAACATTCGTGGGGAACTAATGGGGATTCGAAGGATTGGGGAGGGGCTGGTGGTCGTTGGAAAACGGAGGGATTTGAAGGGTTGCNATTTCATGGAAGAGGTAGGATTTTCAATAGTTAAAAATGGATAAAACGGGATGGAGTATACATTGCCATCAACTGAACCATAAGTTACATATACAAATCTTACTCAAATTGGCATCTATAGCCAGAATACAATATGCTCGATAAGTTTGCCTTCAAGTTTAATGTATATTCTTGAGTTGGGTTGGATTGGATCAATGGGATGAGGCAACGCAACACTTGGTATCTGCCAGGGAGGAACTCCTCTCTGGCAGATACCAAGAAAAGTAAGAAAAAATCACTCGGCCAGCCCGATGTTCAACGGCCAATTTGTTCATTGTTTAATATTCCAGCGTTCAGTAATATTATCCATTCGTCCACTAGTAGGCTGAGGATTACATCGAGTGAACATCACAGAGGAGTTTCTCTCTGTAATGTCCATTTAAATTTAATTTCCTTTCTGTTTGTAAGGTAAATGGTGAAGTTAGGCATCACGGAAAGGCCTGAATATTCTGATTAGAATTTTTGAGATTGCTGGAACGTAAGATTGTGCCCAATTCTCGAAGCAACTCGAAGAGTAATCTATTGCGTGTGAAATCTTTGCTATTCTAACAGGCATTACGGGGTGATGTCAAAACTACGTTAAGATTGGAGAGGATGAAAATGCTTATTTGGACACATTGTAACAAAAGATATTTGAGAAAGATTTGTATATCTGTTATAATAAGCTTGGTAGGACAACCTTTAGGGCATCCTGCTACTTATTAACTTTTATTTTAAATTACAGGTCGTTTGACTTCCTTAGCTGGGGTGGAAGTCTTAGGATTCTTGAGGACTTCCGTAGAAAAGGAAGGTTGGTCGGATATTTTAGTTGCCATTGCTGCAAATTCATTATTATCTGATACAGGTTTGCCTCTTCTTACACCTCAAGTGGGTTTTAGAAAAGATNAATAGTTATAAATTTATAAATACGGGATGGCCCATCAACTGAACCATCAGTTACATATACAAATCTTACTCAAATTGGTGTTTAGAGCCAGATTACAATATGTGAAATTGGACGTATATTGAAAACATTGTAACAAAAGATATTTGAGAAAGATTTGTATATCTATTGTAATAAGCTTGGTAGGCCATCCTGTGACATATCTTATTAACTTTTATCTAAATTACAGGTCGTTTGACTTCCTTAGCTGGGATGGAAGTCTTAGGATTCTTGAGGACTTCCGTACAAAAGGAAGGTTGGTCGGATATTTTAGTTGCCATTGCGGCAAATTCATTATTATCTGATACAGGTTTGCCTCTTCTTACACCTCAAGTGGGTCTTAGAAAAGATGTAAGTGTTTTTAAATTATCTTTTTTTGAAAAATTATATACAGAAAGTCCGAAAGACAGTTAACTGTGTAAATCTCTCAAACATGNGATTTGAAGGGTTGCGGAGGGCTGGTGGTCGTTGGAAAATGGAGGGATTCGAAGGATTGCGGAGGGGCTGGTGGTCGTTGGAAAACGGAGGGATTCGAAGGATTGCGGAGGGCTGGTGGTCGTTGGAAAGCGGAGGGATTCGGAGGGCTGGTGGTCATTGGAAAGCGGAGGGATTCGAAGGGCTGGTGGTCGTTGGAAAATGGATGGATTCCAAGGGTTGCGGAGGGCTGGTGGTCGTTGGAAACTGACTCAAAAATGTGGGACACAGTTGTGGGGTATTGGAGTTTGAATTCACTCCAGGCATCCATAATTTACCACGATCATTTATGATAAATTACTGATGTCTTGAACGGGTTGGAACTGAAAACAGTTTGGTTCGGTGGCATCATTCCCAATCCTTCAATCAAGCCGGTCGAGCCCGCATCTAATGGGCTTAAATTGTGGCCACTCTGTAGCCTAAAAGATTGCTCTGCCTCTCATTAATCGATGGTTCAGTTAACACAATAAAATTGACGTGAAAAAATCCTCATATTTAGCAAGCAAAAGTAAAATTATAGTAAATTAACGTAAGAACGAGCGATAAATCAAATAAAGAGAAGAAATGTTTTTGAATCTTAAAATTAATATAAGGAAAGTCATGTCTTTGCGACTTACAAATTAGTAATTAGGTCACGTATTATGTGTTAGGCTAAGTGCCCATACTGATCTAATGCTAATGTCATGACATCGGGTATGTTATTATAAAGACGTTATTATTTATCATAGATAATTCCTTGTGTTAAATAGTACGCGTGAAAGTATACCCTGCGAGCAGTTCTATATAATAAATCTCCTCAGTTTTATGTTATATTCGATAAAGAACACAAGGAAAACAATACTTATACCATTTTATTAGGTTAAAGAACAGCATTTCAAGAAGAATTGGGCCCCGTCGTGGGTTTGGTCAAATCTACGATTGAGCTCGAAAAGGGCCTTTTTAGTACCTACAGAATAGAGTAAATAGAGGGGTAATTACTCTATTAATTATGTACTGTAGGCTTACAACAGTATCTAGTTTTAAAATTAGTATTTTACAATATATTCGGGCGTATAGAGAAGATGCTTGTGTTGTTGCTGCTGCTGCAGCACCCCATCGATACCAAAGCAATTATTTAATTAAATATAATTGAACTTACTCAATTACCTCGTTTAAACCTCATTAATCACGATGAGCAACACGTAACTATGAGTAATTTTAACACCAGATTAGGGCCTCGCGTTTTTTTTTTAAATGTATCATTATTTAAAACCCTTTTAGAACTTCGTGTATGAGTCCCAGGGGCATTTAAGTAGTGATAAATTTAAAAACACTAGATCCTGATTACAGGGGTGAAGAACCACAAGTCGGGGTCTAGCGTAAGAATCGAATTTAACACATTTTTCCCCTGTTTTTTTAAATGAAAAAAGTCAATACGAAGCTTGTAAAAAATAGCTCAAGTGTGACAAGTCGATTATAGAACAGGGCCCGAAGCAATTATTATAATAAGGAGGAGAGAGAGAATATTTTTTAATTCGTTTATTGCAGTAAATGATTTGCATGAGAAGAATCCCAGAGAATCCATGTGTTTTAATGTATTCGATAGGCTTTTTAATCTGCTTCTGCCTGCAGTTTTCTTCGTCTAAACATGAAATTTATGACTAC